CGGAATAAAAGATACTAAAACACAGGGTCCGTCTGAACGCATGTTTCTCGAATGGGTACTACATTGAGTGGGCTGATCCCGTGTCGGTGGGGTAGGGCGTGTTGGATAGTGGGAGAAGTGCCGTTTCAGTTGGAAAGATGGTTTGGAACGTTGAGCATCGTGTGTTCACTGTACGTGGGTACTTTCAAAATGGCGAGTCTGTCGTTCGAACGCAACGTGAGTTTCGCGTTCACGTTCGTGTTCCACGTCGTAGGACAGTACCAGACCGTAACACCATTTTGAGAGGGGTGGAAGCATTCGATACCACAGGTAATGTGATGAAGAAAAAACCGCCATGGCGAAACCGTACTGTTAGAGCCCCCGAAAACGTAGGCAGAGTGAGAGTTAACACGCTGCAAAGCCCGAATCGTTCCGTCCGTTTGCGTGCTAGTTCCCTATGGATCCACGCGTCCTCTGTACGTCGTATCTTGAAGAAGGATTTAGTGTTCCATCCTTAAAAAATCCAAGTTTGTCAACAACTGTTGCCAGGGGATTATGCACAACGTGTTAATTTTGCACAGCTCATGATTGAAAGTTGTTTATGAGTGATGAAGCGCATTTTCATTTACGTGGATACGTCAATAAACAAATTGGCGATATTGGTCTCCAGTGAACCCCCAACAGTTGCATGAGCACCCCTTGCATACCGCGAAAGTTACAGTTTGGTGTGCAGTAGGCCCAACGATGATTATTGGCGCTTATTTTTTTGAGGATAATGGAGAAACAACTATTGTGAATTCAGAGTGTTACATCCACATGTTGAAAAACTTTTTTCCGAAGATTCGATGTCGACGTGCCCGTCTCAGTACAGTGTGGTTTCAACAAGACGGGGCAACATCTCACACAGCTCGCATTTCGATGGAACTTCTTCGGCAAAAATTCCCAGGACATGTCATTTTACGTCAAGGCGATATTCCATGGTCCCCTCGCTCCCGGACCTGTCAACGTGTGACTTTTTTATGGTTCTACCTGAAATCAAAAGTTTACCAAAGCAAGCCTCGGACCCTCTCCGATTTGAAGAGAAGTAACCAAAATGTCGCCAAATGGCTGACATAGTTTTTAGAACGTAAATTTTGTTTTGCTCAAAAATGGCATGTATTTCTGAGTATTTTGGTATAATAATTTTTCCATACTTATTTTGACTGTACTACTCATTTAAAAAACATGCGTCCTTTCTGAAGGACCCTCTAGAAACTAAAAAGTTGATGAACCTTTAAAATACATACTTATGTTCTAAAATGTTTACATTCGTAGACGCATTAAAATTTGAACTTCCAGAACCGAAAACCCCGCTTAGAGAACCGAAACCCCTGCTTATCTATTATGGTTATGTACACATTACTGAGGATTTTCAAAATTTCTCCCCTGAGAAAATTTGCTACATTCCGTTGCTAAAAATTGTTTGTGGGCTAATACGTTTTTAGAATATGCAAAAAGTTTAATTTTGGCGATTCCCTGGGAACGTTCCCGCTGGAGCCCATGCTAAGATACACAAGATTCCTTACCGAGAAACGCTATCCTAATAACGATGAATCTTATTTTCCACCAATGTCGTACTATTCATAATTTTTTACAAAATGATTTTTGTAAACCATTACTTTTTGTTCTCCGTTCGTTTAGAATCTAGTCAGCTGAGAATCATAAGTACTACCAAATGATGATAAAAAAAGGTTGGGGGTATTACTACTTGCTAGTGTTAGTTATTAATGGGAGCATAATTTGTCAATTTAAAATGTACGTTTTCTGTGATATTCATTTAAATAAAATAACTTGACTTGATTCGAACACACTCAAGACTAGATAAAACGTATTCACATAGTTGGGCACCAAAATGGAAGAGAACATCATAACGCATCGTGCGACACTGTTACCGCGGGGTGTCTTCGTATAGGTATACGCACAGGTGTGTATTCTACTGTATTCAAGGACACACCTCGTTAACGGTGGCATACGCAGCATTGTGTTACTTTTTTCCATTTCTGTACCTCACTATACTAAGTATTTTTTTGCATGATTCAACAAAAGTGTGAGTCGCAAAAATCCAGGGTTGGAATATCCTCTTAATATTAATACATTCAAAACCGAGCCTCAATGAACCTGAATGATGTGTTTATTTTCTATGCCAGTTGATGAGGAAGTATTATGGTCGCGAAAAATTCGGAAATTGGAATATATTTTTTGGATATGATATCATGGAAATACCACTTGCCTATCTGTCTTCTGGCACCGGTCTTCTTTCTATTAATTCTCCTTTATAACTTGGAAAGTATCTACTGCTCGAATTTTGACGAAATTTTGACACAAGCTCTCTACCATGCAAAGGTCGTAAAAAATTTGTACGTTTTTGAAAATGAGTTCGAAAGCGGCAAAGATATGGACGAAAAACAAAAAATTCACTAATCTTCACTTAACGACGTTTTTCGAGTTTCTTATAACTTTCGGGCGTAGCTAAAAAAACTTTGGTTGGGTCAATCTTGATAAAAAATCCTAAGCTTCATTTTTCGACTTTTTCCATCTCTCTCTGCATTTGGGGCATAAACAAAAAAATGGGGTATCAAAAAACGTTAAACCACTAAGGCGGATGTCACATGATATTTACTGCGATGTGTAAATAAGTAATTATTGATGTACAGTGGACCTCCGGTAATCCGACAAACATTATGCAGTTCAGTGTCGGACTATCGAATTTGTCGGATTATAGAGCACTGCCTAAAACCCCCTATAGTCCGGATTTTTTTACAAAAGAGTACCTTGTAATCCAACAAATTACATATCCAATGGTAAGATTATATATCTTATGTATATGTTTGTACTTTGAAGTACATATGATACATAGTTTATGTATGTCGAATTTAGTAAATTAAATAACAATAGAGAGCTTACGTTTTATTATAAAATTAAGCATAAATGCACATACATATGTACCAAAATAATCAAGAATTATTAATCAAAATCATTAATGAATTTATCAAATTATGAAGCTTGGAAATATTCATCAATTTATTTTTGTTTAAGGTTGTTATAACGCGAGATCAGAGCTTTGTCCCTCAGTCTTCTCAAAAGTAAAAGTTCGTTGTAGGATGTCTTCAGCCCATTGTAAACCTAGCTCAAAGGCGTTAACTGCGTCTTGTGCTGTGACTTGTGGAGCAGTTGCAATCACGTCGTCGTTATTTTCTTGATTGTTTGTTGTATAATTAGAAACCTCTTTTATAATCTCTTCGTCAGGCATTTCATGAAAAACATTTTCATCTTTATCCATTCCACGGCACCAGATTTCCAAATCTTCCGGACTTATCTGTGTTTCAGTAGCGACTTGTTATATAACTTCCGAAGTAACACTGATTTGTGGAACGTTGCTAGGAGTGGTGACTATATCTGGCCATAACTTTTTCCAAGACGATTTAATAGTTGATAACGGTAACGCATTCCACGGCTGACAAAGAGCAAAAACCAAGTCCATATTAAATTCTTTTAAAGTTTTTTCTATTGGTTGGTCTTTTGATCCGGCTCTCAGAAGTAGGTTTTTCTTATAGTCTTGCTTGACAAACTGAATGAAATTCTGGTCTGTTGGTTGAATCAGTGCAGTGCAATTTGGCGGAAGAAACATCGCAGTGATGCATTTATCCTCAGTTGTTAGTTCTTCTTCAGACGGATGACCGGGAGCGTTATCAAGAAGCAACATCGCTTTTTGAGGAAAATTATGATCTTTCAACCATTTTCTAACTTCCGATACGAAGCATTCATCAAACCACTTTTTGAAAAGGTCTTTTGTCATTCATGCACTTTTTTGTCCGTAATAGTGTACAGGTAAATCAATGTTTTTGAATGCCCGTGGTTTATTAGATTTCCCAATGACCATCATCTTAAGCGCGTGTATACCCGCAGCGTTAGCACATGGTAGTATGGTTACACGCTCTTTACTTACCTTTCGACCAGGTACGGATTCTTCGTTACAAGAAACGAAAGTTTTGTTAGGCATCACACGCCAAAAAAGCCCTGATTCGTCTGCATTGTACACCTGTGACGGGTCAAGATTAAGATCGTTCACCTTTTGCAAAAATCTTAACTTAAAGGCTCTATGCAGGTGGAATCGTTAGAAAGTTTCTCTCCTGTAATAGTCATTAAACGCATGCCATGACGACTTTTAAAACGTTCTAGCCATCTTTTGCTGGCCACAAAATCATCTTTTTTTGTTATTTCCTTTTTAAAAAATTTAGCTTTCATGGCCAACATGGGTCCTGGAATTGCCTATTTCTTTCCTGAAGAAACCACATGTACAAAGCTTCTTCCACTTCTGGATGTTCAGCTTTCTTGAGTGTCTGTCTCTTGCCTGGCCCGCAGTCAGTAGTTGACACGAACTTCTTGATCTTCTCGTGGTTTCTTTTAATGTCATAAATTGTAGTTCGGCCTACGCCGAATTCACTTGCTAAACTACTGAAAGTTTCATTGTGATTTAAGCGGTCTAAAATATCACATTTTTTCTTTAATTGTCAATGTTTTGTGCTTTCCCTTCTGAGTTTGTGATGACATTACTAGGTACTATACTTAATACAAAATGAATAAATGGTAAACAATGAACGCACGCTAGGTCGTACCGCTATCACAAGTAGTCAAATTGAAACTAAGTAAAACAATGCTTACGCGTCGAGCACGATAGCGGTGGCGCGTACAAGTTGTAACCTGTTCAAACCTGCGTGATCTACATTAGCGAATATTGTCAAATACGTATGTATGTAATACATATTCAAAGACATGTCGGATTAAAGGGGGCGCCGGATTAGACAGGGGCCGGATTATCGGGGGTCCACTGTATGAGGTTACATAGAAATCCACTGACACCGTAAATACTGATGGTACAGACTACAGTAAATAATGATCGTATGACATGCGCAATATGGATTCATATCCTTACTCTTACAATACTGAGTTAAGCTACTTGATTCAATTTTTTAATTACTAACCGAGGTTGGGCAGCTTGAGCATCTCATGGTCTGGAGGAAGCGGTTCAGGCGTCATTACATCCAAACCAGCAGCAAAGATACTGTTGGTCTTCAGAGCTTTTATTAAAGCAGGTTGATCAACAACCTGGCCTCTACTGATATTCACAAAAACTGACGTTTTCTTCATTTTTGAAAAGAATTCCTCGTTGCACATTCCTTCCGTTTCTTTTGTTAGAGGTACGCTGATAATCACGAAGTCACTGTCGCGTGCTAAGGTGTCCAAGGAGACAAATTTTGCGCCCAGCTCTTTACCTGTAAATCAAGCAAGGCCTACTCATTTTAAATCTAAACTTAGAAGGCTAGTTTGATTCAAGTATCCTTGAAAATTATTTCACTAAGTATGTAATACTTGATACCTTACTACATTATTGTATAAAATTCGAAACAGTTGACGTCCTATTAATAGGAGTCTCTAACGGGATTAGAATATCAGTAGACGTATTTTTCAAAGAAATCATTTTGACGGATTAGTAATATTTAGCCTCTTATGACAGTGACAAACACAGTAAAAATGATTTTATTTGAATAGGAATTTCTATACAATTAGGGTGGCGAGCGCCAACCACGAGTCTTCCCAACATACTTAGTATCTTGCTTTTTTTTTATACTCCAACTACCACGAAGACCTAAGGCCTAAGCACCCATTGGGTACCGTGGGGCTATAGGGGGATACATGGGAAAGGGGGAACGCCACACGGACTCTGGCGAGGGAACACGTGTGCATGCAACATGCACACATTCTGGCTCCGCCTACAAGATCCGCCGGGTGGTACCTTCGCGTTCGAAAGTCAGAGACCGTCTACCACCTACGGACAATCCCAACATCCATAGCCAAGAGAAAAATTTCTCCTGGGACGGGACTCGAACCTGCACAGCGCACGGCGACTGATCAGGAGACCGAAGAGTCTACTACTGCGGCCACCGCTGCTGCTGAAAATGTATATGATATTGGCGACTCTACTCGTAGTTGTTCCACATACGAATGTAGCCTCAGTATTGAAAATACCATCCCATCATTCATATACAGAAACCCGGAATTCGCCAATTTTATACTGTGCACCAACATACTAGTTTAGTATTAAATTCCCTTAGTTGGTACTCGCCATACTGAGACATAAGAGGAAGTAGTAACTGAATTTTGGAATAAGAACAACTGCTGTATCGCTAAACTTCCCTATTAATGATGAGGTATATCATCCCAAGCTAGTTGAACTTGGTTACAAAAAGCTGCTAGCATTAGTGGAAGATAAAGAGGTCACTTTTTTTCCCATTATAACCCACACTTGTTCAATGGATGAAAGACCTCTAGATCTAGGATGCCAAGGAATTAGGCTGATATTTTATTGGAGCTTTGGAAATATGGAGAACGGAGCTTTTAAGCGTCTGGAGGAACGACAAAAAAAATGGGTTTTAGTATTTTCTGGATATATAGTTACGCGGTCATGCCACCTCTAATGAAAACCAGAACTGACTCCATATTTGATAGCGCTCTAAACCATAACTGGTGCACGCAGACTTGAGTAGCATTCGGATACTTGGTATTTTGAATCCTGAATACATATGGTTGGTATTCGAATACTATTCGAATACATTTGTGTGTTTGGTATTATATGAATACTTTCTTGGTCACTATTCGGTACTCTAGATTCTGAATACCGTTTCTGAATTGGAATATTCGAAGACCCACTTTCAATTACCTATTCTTCATTCTTTATTCAAATCCCGGTATTCGAATTCTGTAATGGAATACTGTTTGGCTATTCTTATGGATATACATTACCCTTTACGCAACTTAAGCGTATTAAAACACGTTCGCGGTGGTTGTGGATGGCACAAACAAAACAGCTACTCAAAGTTCTTTTCTTTCTACAGGTCGCTTAAGGAACAAGTTTAGATTACGTGTGCTTGTGCAGTATTGCCTTTTTATTTTATAATAAATTTTAAAACCTGTTATAATTTGTATGTGATACCAGGTAAAGTACCATTCTTCATACAATTGTATCTGCCTCAGTTCTGTTTTAGATATGAATGGTGGTGAGACATGAGTCAGGAGCTGCCTCGGAGAAAGACATGATGTAAAGCTTTCAGTTGAACGCCATTTGCACCACACTGTACGAATCATGGCCTGAAGGGGCATTACATGTGGTGCTAAGTCACTTCTAGCTTCCATTAGAGAAGGTATGACGGTGCAACGGTATGTCCAGGAAATACTGGAACGTCATCTCATACCATTTATTCAAACACGTGTGAACTCACATCAATAACGATCAAATCAGCCTCATCCATTAGCTTCCTAGATCTCCCGTAAATTCGGCAATTGAGCTTGCGTGGGATATGATATGATGGAGAGCGACCTTTTTACCTCTTCCTCCACCAAGTTAGCAGCTCTTTGGGTTGTACCTAGATACAAAATTAAAATGTAAACATTTTTACTGGCTGTTCTATTTCCTTTGTCATATAGTATATATTCTGTCGGTATCCGAAATGAAAATTGAAAACTATCGGCTGATTCGTCCTTCTGGCAATACAGAGAATTTAAATGAATTCCCTTTCAATGCATCAATGCACGAATTTAAAATACATTCTTTTAGTACACGAACGAAAAAACGAGGATAAAGTGTATCATCGTTAAACAATCTGAAAACAATCTGCGATAATTAAAATGTTTAGTTGGAAATTACCCATTAAAATTACTTTAATATCAACAGTGTATTAAAAAAGACAAGTCACCAAGTAACTTTGTGCTTACCCTCTGGTTTTTCTCTGTGACCAGTATACAGAATCTGCTTTATATCGAATCCTTTCATTCGTTTTGCAATCGCTTGTCCAATGTTTCCCAAACCAATAATACCAACTGTGGAGTTGCAGATGTCTTGCCCTAGCATCCATTGGTAATCTGACTTCCATTCGTTGCTATGTAATTACATAATTAATAACCAGGTAGATATGACACTAAAGAAATTATTTTAATTATACTAAATGTATTTACAATATTAGGCGATTATGCATTCTGTTTCATCGTCAGTCGTATTATAAAATAGCATTTTCCAAACTTATTTAGCCGCGAACTTCTAAGAAATCAAGAACAATTTTCAAAGACCCCTCAATAATAAATAGATTTCCCCATCAGGAGCCCGCGGACTACAAGTTAGGGAACACTGTTATAAGCGATAAAAGACAATTGTTTGAGAGGTATTATTTTCAGTCTAAAAGTCTACGTATGACAGTTTGAATGAAGCCTTTTTATTATTTTATATAAGGAAATACAACAAATGTAATTTTTGATTAAACTATTATTCATCTATATCCAATATTATAACTTTGGTATAAGTAATAAGCGATAATTCTTACATCTCTAGTGGGATGGAAAGAAATAATAAAAATGGTCGAAGTTACTCAAATTTTGGTTTGAAGTGTTTACTTCCGGTTCTGCACCATATTTCTTTTGAAATGCTATATCTAGAAGAATAGAATAACCTTAAACAATAATTTTCTGTCAACGTATGAATGTAAAAATCATTATTGAAGCTTTAAAGTGCCTATTAATGCAATATCTCCTAAACCAGGAAACCTAAAGAAACGCCTAACGTCATACCGGCATGTCATAAAAAAGTTAGATAGTTGATTTTAAATTTTCCGATTTTGCACCTTATATTTTTTGGAATAGGCTACTTGACTAATATCTAAAATTATAGAATACATTATTATTATATTTAGTATTTCTAACAGAAACAGGAAAACGAAATATATCGACTTCAATTTTCAAGAGCGCAAGATGGATATATAAGTCCAATTTAAAAACTAGATTGTTTTATTTTGAATAGGAAACGGTGAAAACACCATCGGCCATGACGTGGCGTCATAAAAATTGTAAACAAAAAAACGTCATCCATATGTGTCTCGTGGACTAACGTTGTCTTCTTTAGATATTTCTACAAAACTTCTAACTAACGTAAAAAGTTATCTTTTTCTCGTTTTATTGAAAACAACACGCATGGACGTTGGATTCGTGAAAGCAGAAACCACAAACTTGCCGAAAATTGATACTTTGATAGTTGGTAATTTCCAGATTTCTGCTCTAGTGAGCTAAAGAAGATCACGACTTCTATATAAATACCGTGCATCTGATATAATGATACACATAAAAAGAAAGAACAAATGCAGTGACATACTTTTCTGTTTCAGAAGTAACTCAAAACTAAACTCACGCACCATAGCTTCTTTGAATAGTTTTATCTAATATTGTATTTTTTCACACATCTGTAGAGACAATAAAGTCTGCACAGTAAAATGTAAAATATGTCCCTAAGGTCTGCTCCAAGCAATACACAGCGTTGCGTATACATATTTACTTCCCTAGGCACACTAATCCACCGCTTTCCTGGGGGTCCTTATTGTTTTTACATTCTCGAACGATAACGATAATTACTATACGAGCCCCTTCTCACTTCAGTTGGCCCAACTATTGAAATCTTAGTTTTTTTCTTATCAAACACAAATAATAAAAATGTAGCAGGGTGTTATAGGTTTAAAATATTAACAACGAATATTTTGATAATATATAACAAAAAACACCAACTTTAGTACTCCCTAATCAAATTTGCAGCATAAAAATAACACATGTTGTAATTACAGCATATCAACCTATTTTCATTTCAATGTAAAATACCAGAATACGTTTAAAATAGTTTTGGGTAGTTAAGGTTTTCAAAATGGGTAGAGGAAAGGTTATTAGTGAGAAAATTCGGTTACTGATAATTAAATTTTTTAATTCTGGGAAATCAAACTCAGAAATTGCAACTTTGTTACACTTATCGCGGTACAGTGTGAGAAATATTGTTAGAAGATATAACGTAACTGGTTCAGTTAATATTAAGCCACGATATGTGAAAAAAAGTAATATCACAAATGCCGACTGAAGAGCATTAAGAAGAATAATCGTGAAAAACAGGCGTGCCAATTATTTACAATTAAGTGCTCTGTGGAGTGACGCTCTTGGAAGGAGAATTTCGAGGTCCACAACTCATAGAGAGGCCCACAAACTGGGATTTAGCACTTGCAAGGTAAGTTTTCTTATAAAAAAAAGTGAAGTAAAAACCTTAAAGTTGCACAACTTGTTTAAAGGCCAAAGAAAAGCCACTAACTCCACTGCAAAAGAAAAAACGGCTTAGATGGGCTAAAGAACATAGAGAATGGACACCTCAACAATGGTGTGCAATACAATGGAGTGATGAGGCCCGATTCGAAGTTTGTGTTGGTGACAGTCGCGGTAGAGTTATTCGCAAAAAAATGAAGCATTCCATGTTGACTGTCTGAAGAGAAAAGTGAAATTTCCAGCATCCATTATGGTCTGGGGCAGTACGTCATCAAAAGGAGTAGGAAAACTTCATTTTATTGATGGAAATGTGGATACAAACAAATATTTGGCAATTTTAGAAGAATCGCTTTTACCAGTGATGGAAGAATGTTTGACATCCGGCCAAGATTTTGTGTTTCAGCAAATTAGTGCATCGTGCCATACCTCAAAAAAGGTTATAAAATGGATGGAAGAAAATAATGTACCACTTTTAAAATGGGTTTCTAGCAGTCCAAATCTGTCACCTATTGAAACTTTGTGGCACGAGATGAAAAAGGTCCTGCTCGTACAGTCACCGAACTGAGACAAAAGCTTCAAGTAATATGGGATTGTTTTACACCAAATTTTTGCCATAACTTGGTTAACACTATGTCTCAAAGAATTTTAGCCGTAATAAAAAATAAAGGTGATGTTACCCAATGGTAATCTTTCAATTGTTGCTTTGTTAACTTCGCGCATTTATTCGCACATTTTTTATTTGTTCAGATGTTCTATTAGTTATAGGTCAAATATGTATTTTTTACGACTAGAGTGTATCTTAAATGTTTTTGAGAAAATAAATTGTTTTAGAAGTAAATAGTTTCGTCATGTTTAGTTTATAAAGGCATGTTTTGGTACAAATCTTGAAGTGGGAAGGGTCTCGTATTTTCATGAAAACTAGTAGGTCATGTTTACATGTTTAAAAGCTTAGAGGTTATGATGCTGAGAGATACGGTTTACAAATGATATGACGTTAGAGCGCATTAATATGGGTCAAAAACATGGCGGACAGCGTTTTCGCCTGCCTATATGTCTTTAAATTTAAGATTTACGGTTTTTTAGGTCTGAAAAAAATATAGAAATATAGTATTATTATTTTTTGTCTAATAGCATAATATTTGAGACCTACTTAAAAAAGTGTCAACTAGCCTAATTCTTTTTTTATCAAAAAGTACAAACGCTATGTATTTCAATGTAATACTATTCAATTTAAAAAATACGTAAAAAAAATCCAATTTCAATTATGGATACTTCTTAGAAGACCACGACTTATCAAATAAACATCACACGTAGAAATAATCGTGTTTTTCACACCTACTACCTAAACAAATAGGCCCGATGTGAACAAATGTTAAACCTTACTTTTCTTCCGTCAATGCGAAGAGTAATTATAAAGAAAGAAACCCAGTACTTTGAGTAAAACATACTTTTCAATTTTCAATCTTCCTTCGTGTAGTCTTCTAGCCGCTGCTAAGGCTAACATAACAGCGTGGTCGGCAACAGCTGCGTCTAAAACCCTTGGTGTGTTTCCAAGTTTTATCCCACGTTTCCTTAATTCATCGATATCAATATGATTATAGCCAGCTGATACGGTCGCTACTGTTTTCATGTTACATCCTACAATTGAAAATTATTCGCACGCAACAATCAAAATAATGTAATAGGTATTGACCCAAAAATGTTGGCGTTGACCTAAAATCTATGGGTATTCTTGTTTCTGTATTGAACATCTGGAGATCTCACAAAATATAGACACGTTTGGGGAGCTATTCCATACAAGAGTTTTGAATATTTTTCCAACCGATGAGTTCATTACCAGTGACGATCCACTTAGGTTCCAGTCAGGACGAGCCTCAGTGGAATTAAAATGATAAATCTAATCTAGACAGAAGCATTTCATTGTAACAAAATCAAGTCTTCTTTTTACAACACTTTTCACATCAACTAGCGAGAAAGTATTGTGATTGTGGAAAATTTCGAACATGAGATATTAGATTTTTTCGATGTTACATGATACGCATATCACGAAGAACCATGCGACTCCGTCGGCCTGCCTGTCAGTCTCTTGTTTTTGAACATTGAGTCGTTCGCAGAAGATGGAGGAGGGTATGTCTCATTTTTTTGGCAAAGCATATTTATATGATTCTATCCCTTTTAATTCTACACGCCTATTAGTCATACTTCACATATACATAGATTAAATTTGCTCTCACGATTGCGACTGATATGAATATTCTCAATAACCGCGATCAATTGTATCGACCTATTTGACTTACTTGATCCATTGAATTCATTTGTCCATTTGATTTAATTGTTATACATCAACGTAGTTAACTTTAATTAAAAGAGCTTAATTTGTGCCGCAAAGGAACTAAGCTTGGGTCCTGCTTTGTTGTTGGGGAAAATTGAAGAGGGGGGGATTACACTTATTCGAGTGATTTCTCAGGTCATCATTCCTTTGAATTCCATCACCAAATTTATTGAATCGAATTTTTTCTTGTATCATCCCAAAATTGATTGCAATTTCACTGAAAATTTGATAAGATTCCATTTGTAATGAGATTTTCGTTTCATTGGCTAATTTCTGAGTTACATTTAACCCTTAGCATTTCGGAAAATAATTTTTTTCTCGTATCGTTTATCCAAGAAGATCTGAAATGTCTGTTGTGAGGAGTGAGCCCCACTCAGAACTCGAGACCCGGGAGGAAAAGTCCCCGTTAACCCCCCCTCTCGTCGGGTCTGGCCGGGAGGTACGCGGCCCATGATGTTATCATGCAGACGTTAAAATAGGCATAAAGTAAATAAGTATCTGTTATGAACTTACTTATGAGTTCTTCGGATTGTTGGGATAAAAAAATCAACTTATGCCTGTATTGGTCAGAACTAGCCTTACTCTGTGGAAGGCATAAAATAAATGTCGAAACGTTGGCAGCTTGACAAAGACAGTTTTTGTTTTCTCTATCACAACTCCCCGAAGAACTTATGAGTAGATGAGAAAATATATGTCCACGATCACAGTTATCGTAAGCATACCTACCTGCAGCATCGAGAATTTTGTTTGTTAATTTCAGCGGTGGAGCCAAAAGCAGCGCATCGACTTCAGCAATATGCTTCAGAACTTCATCCTCAGTTGCTTTCTCCAACTCGATAACTTGACAACTGGAAAAATATAGTTAAGATCGCAAAAAGGAAAACGTGCATCGGTTCGAGGAATATTTCCAATGTTTAACTATAATTCAAGAATTCAAAACTGATGAAGAAAACTAATTTTGATGTTGGCAGTTGTGACAAAATATTTCGGTTGAGCTAGTAACTGCTTCAAGTTTGTTGACAGTGCATTATATATTTGCGAACTTAACATAACTGCGTAGACTACAGACTTGCTCAACCGGGGTTTGCTGTGCGATTTCGTTATCATGCCGCTGCGTCAGTTATTTAGTATAGTACCTAAGGAAAGGGATGTCAAGATCTTTGCAGAGCGTCTGATTACAAACATACCATGAGGCGTTAGTGATTGTACGTATAGGTTCTGCTCTTCAGCGTTGTCGAAAAAACACTATGCTGCACATTTGCCTAGGACACCGAAATGCTGGCAAAAAATACAATTTCTATGGCATTTATACGATTTTCACTACAGCAGTGTTTTTAGGTCGCTTATCTCAAAACTGGGACTAGCTTGCCTCTATGAGGGCATTTGAAGCTCACTCCAAAATTACATCAAGGACATTGTCAAAAGAAACCTGACAGTCGAGCCTAATAACCGAATGTCATTTATGTTTTTCTGGTTAATAAGTCCAACTCGAAGGTCAATTAGCCACACCTAAAGGTAATTTCAAGGTCACTTAAATTGCTAATTCAAAATACGAGTCCAGACTCGTATACCATATGTTTTTGCGGTCGTTGAGTCAAAATCTAGATGAAGCAGAAAAAACTGTTCCAAAAGCCATATGCCATAAGCCAAGATTATATCCGTCAAGCTATGTGAAGAAATAGGGATACTTGATACTAGGCAACTTTATTTCTTACATGCCACCACCTTATACCATAAACACTGCAATAAACAAAGTTCTCATAAATTCGATCATGACACACGATTTAGGCTAATCTAATATCCAAAACCCACACAAAACATTATTCAAAAAATTATATAATGTAGTACCAAACGAAATAAAGACACGCAAATTCGGAAAAAAAAATAGATGAAAATAAAAAAACTGAGTGTGTACTGTGCAGCGAATGACTGCACTATATACTTTTTAGAATCAGTTAGCTATGTTATACACATGCGATTTTTGTTAGTAAGACACATAGGCAATGCCTTCTGAGGATTTTTGATATTCATTTGCCATTTTTAAGTAATTTTGCATTTTAGCGAATAAATATTATTATTATTATTATTTAAAGGCATGGGTAAATTCAAAAAGTTAAATAACCGTATCCGACCACCTTCAATAATATGACAGTATATAAGGATATTTCTCAATAGTTTGCGAAATTTAGCAAAAACTGACATTAGATTTTATCCGGTAGTACATCAAAGTTTACGAGTACATTTTATTCTAATTGGGGAAAAGGTCGTAAACGTTATTAAAAACCTATTTAAATAATACTAATATAAATAAGTGAAGCTAAAAATAGTAATTAGTTTAATTCACGGTATACAAGAAAACAACAGTGACAGTTTTATATTAATGAAAGTTCGTTATCTCTTTCATGATCCATACCCAAATTTCAAATATTTTCAACATACAACACTACGGATCATACAAAAGCTCTCCAATTTTACCACTAAAAAGTAGTTTCAGATGATACACCAAAACCTGTCATGGTAAAAGTAGTGTTAGTAAAGCTCTGATTTAATGTCCAACCTATTCCTTATTATTATTAACTTTAAAATAGGAACTAATTTACATTCGTTCCCCATACTTTCGATTTTTTCGATTTTCGCCAGGTCTTAGAGTAAACAGGCCACTGTGTGCTGATCTAATAACTATATTGTATAGCCAGATTTTGTAGGTCAAACCTAATTTTAAGGTTCTGATTTATATTGTCAAAACGTAATTTTCAATTTAGTTTCCAACGTTGCGGTGTGCTTTTGATGGACCACTCCTTTGTCAAGAGTAGCATCCAAATTTTCTATGACACACGAGCTTTGATCACTGAAACCTCGGACGCAGCGGCACTGCGTTCTTTAAACCACTGATCTCACCAATCACCAAAAGCAAGCCGATGGCAACTCAACTTCAACCTCATTTCGAATTCAGTTGCGTTTCTTTTGCGTTCTCATCAGAAGCAACTACTAAGCAATTGAACGTCTTTTTTTTGAGATTGTGGAAAAAGTATCAAGTTCCTAGTTAGAATGTGGAATATCTTTATGTCGTTTTTATACTTAGGAATCTTGGTGGAAGAAGATCATATAAGTATCGTATATGACAAGTAAAATCTTCCAATGCAATGAACGATCTGCAGAAAGTAACTCCTTTCCGTAAATAGCATATTTTTGACACACTTCTTGCATCGACTGTAGCTATCCTGAACAGCCTCCATTTCCGATGATCAATTTTGATCAGCTACCGATCTGCCCGTTCTAATACCCCATGGTAGGGCTTGTGAACCTTCAACACTACAAATATTGACCTAGAATTAATAAAAACCTTACCCGTGTTCTTTCAGATAGCTAATCCCGCTTCTTGGAGTGCTTGGCTCAGCAATCAACACCTTGGGTGGTTTGTTAGTGCTACAGTTTTTAGCGCTCGCCATTCTTACAATAGCGACAAACTTCAACACTGAAACGTTATAAAATGATAAACATCAGCGGCATTCACCTAGATATACATACTCTGTTTATTCATATGATGTTAGTGTAATTAGCTTATTGCTCGTTAAATATTATCATTGAATTATTTGTGATGATAAGGAATTTTTAATAACCCGTAATAACCAATCTACCTTAAAAGTATTATCAAGATTTCCATATACTCGTGGTTTCATATGTTTATCTGGATGAGCGAGAGGTTTTGATGAGTATGCAGTATTTATGGGAAATATCACACTGCAGGTAGGAAAAAACAATATACGGCAATACTATCGAGCTTTTCTATCTGAGACAGGTCATAAAAATGGTTTCTTATCTTGGAAAAGGTTCTGATAAACTATATACCATAAGTAACTTGAATGCTATTATCTATTTCATATTGTAACAAGAATAAATAGTACCGTTGGCGCCATCTGTTGGGAGACTCTTCTACTCGCCAGAGCTTCATGATCGATCTCTGTTTTTACGCGGATCATGACCGCACATGCCACTTCGCATCATCTGAGAGGACCGTGCCAGTGACTAGCCTTCTAGATCGACGCGAAGTGACCTAGAAGAGCCTAGACTGCAGCTTTGTGGCTCGCCAGACCCTTCTCGAATCAGCGATGCGGACTATATAGTTCGACGGCCGGGAGATGGAAGCAGAGTACAGAAGAGATTACAGTCGAGTATAGCGGAGTAGAATATAGTTCAGTCAATGGCGCGACATAAGAATTAGTCAGACATAAATAGTGGTGTACATAAATGTTCTATCAAGTTAAATAGATTAGTGCATTCCTTTTTGTGGAATCCAGTGTTTTAATCTACAGCCAAAAGAACCCAGAAAAACGCTACAATATGATTAATCCAGGATTAAACAGCGCAGAAAATTGTGTTTTGATAATAACAACGCTTCCACCCAACTGGTGAACTCTTCAGAAAATAAGGATGTGGATTATTTTAACTTTCAACAATACTATTATTAAACATTTGAGCCCTATCGAATACCGTGAATATATTGTTGATCATGTAAAGACAATAGGCACATTCTTTATTCTTTAATTAGACAAAGGTAAGTTTAACACCGAAAGTTTTGAAACTTGAGTAATATTAAAAAATCCGACACAGCTTTACAAACGCAGTCTAAATATGATTCTAATACAATTAAAATTGTTTTATGTTATTCATATCCATTGCATTAGGATAAAAGCTTATGAAACTGTCTGTATAACAACTCCATCAACTGACAATTCTTAAAAACTAGAGGAAAGCAGTTTGCCCCGAGATTTATGTCTAAAACGTCATTAATAATGTTCATTTCATATTATGGAGCCTTACTATTTGATTTGCGGTTTAGTGACAAAATGGTGTAAAGGTTATCTAAACATGATGAAAGAGATCTGGGCTTCAGCATTATACATATAGGGTAATCCATAGCTTTACAGTTGACAATGCCTAAAGCAGAGAACGAGATATTTTTTTCGGTTCCTAAACAAGTACAAAAAAAAAAACCGGTGGAGACCTTACTATATCTTAATCATATCGAACATCCGTCTTATATTTAGCATGCTCACACTCGTCTTTAACTTGCTTGCTCAAGGCAAGAATGTCTAGATTTAAAATTTCCATATCTCTATACAATATAATTCAAGAGGAAAGGGCCTACACTATTGGTATGCTTTTTGTATGGTACTACTCAAAATAGTGAAGTATAATATATATATATAAAGTCTTTGAGAGTCTGAAGCTTCAACTAAAAATGCCGATAAAATAATTCTTTAAAAGCTTTCATATAATTTACCCCATTTAAAACAACAATAACAGGCTGGTTTAAACTTACCTATAAAAAACTTCCATTTCAACATGATGATACTGGCAGGCCCTAACTTTTACTCTTAAGCCACACACACTATGTTAACTTGGTTTATTCCAATGACCGGATTTCTTCAGCTTCTATGTAGGCTTGCAGGCCTTCAGGGGGAATGCTCTTAAACCAGTTTCATGTATATGTATGTATTGATAACGTGGGGCAATACGTTAATACAAGCATTATTGTACGAATAAATGAGCAAAATCTTATGCTATTACTTACATACATTTCGCGTCAAAATTATTCACAATCATTTATTCACAGATTATTAGCGATCATTAGTTATTGACTGTTATGGATATACGAGGCGATATTGATCAATATCACGCTATGGTTACGAAAAATGCAATAACTGGAAAAGTGGACGAACCCTTACACCTCGCACTTTACGAGGGATGTCTTTTAAGTTTTGCATATGGAAATAAAACAACACGGTAGGTAGTTTTAAATGACTTTATTGTTTTTCGAAGTATTCTCCACGAAGATTAATACACATCTACATGCGCTCGAACCAATTTTCGAAGCACTTATTCCACTCGTTTGCTGGCAGATCCAAAACGGCATTTTTGAATGCGCCAACTGCTTCTTCTCGTGACTGGAACCTTTGACCACGCAGTCTGTTTTTAATTTTCGGGAAAGTAAAGAAATCGTTAGGACTTAGATCGGGACTATATATAGGATGGCCCAATAATTCCACGTTTTCTTCCGTTAAAGACTGCCTTGTTTTTTGGGCTGTGTGCGATCTTGCGTTGTCTTGGTGGAGGATGATTCTTCTTTCGGGGTTGATTTTTTGAAGCTCGGTGATGACTTTTGGGAAACAAATGGTGTTATACCAGTCCGCAGTAACAGGTCTTTGCTCATTAAGAGGAATTGTTGCAATATGATCCGCTTTTGACACAAATGTCGCGACCGTCTTTTTCGATACACTTTTCTTCACCTTGGAACACCCAAACAGCCCACTGTCGTTTATTTTCTGGTTTATGACAGTAAATCCACGATTCATCAACACTAACAATGCTGTACACATTTTTTGAGTTTCCGGAATTGAAACGGTCAAGCGTTTTTTGACACCAATTAACCCTGGCTGCTTTCTGCTCTTCAGTCAACAGGTGGGGTATCCAACAAGAAACTAATTTTCTTACTCCTAATTCTTCATGTAAATTTTTTTGAATTGAGGTCTTTGAGATCTTCAAGGACGCCTCAATCTCGCGATATGTCACATGTCTATCTTCAAAGATGAGTTTGCGCAAAGCATCATCGACGTTTTCCTGGGTGACTGGCGTTTTTGGTGCACCCACCCTGGGATCGTCGCTAAGACTCACCCGTCCACGTTTGAATTCTCCATACCAACGGGAAATTGTCGACTGATGTGACGCTTCGTTGCCGAAAACAGTCACTCAGCAAGGCATTCTTGATGCGATAATTGTCTCTGAAAGATGTAATAAATTATGGCGCGAAAATGATCTCGGTTGAGTTCCATTTTTCTAATGACTTGGTGACACTTAGAAATTCACTGTAGTAAGAACACTGCACGTATTGTTGTGAAACTTTGAATTCAAGTTTACTAAAGAGTGAGGTTAAGATTCAGTACTGACGTTCGATCCGCGCGGTCTACTATGTTTCTATATGCAAAACTTAAAAGACATCCCTCGTACGACTACCATCTTCTTTTGAACCACACGCTATCTTTAATAAAAAGTTGGAAATAGTTTTTGAGAAGTTACCTTGCGTTTGGGAGCCATTGCAAGGAATTCGCATATGCATGCCCCGTAAACATGAAAAGGTATACTATAAAGTCACATTCTTGGAATGTACGAATTAAATCATAAAATAGATATTTTAATAAAGCAAATTCTCAGCACATACTGTTCACATCCGTTTAAACCAAATCCTCATGACCAACGTCGTAACAATATACATTTAAGTACACATTCGGAACGGAAATGTTCATAGCTTAATCATATAAGGAAGGGATATGCATTTTCTTACATGCTAGGAATGTCCGTTTTTAGGACATGCCGATACAAAATCTTCTTGTCACGTGACAGTAACATTCCACCAGGCAATAGAGATGATATTCCTGGCACGTGAGATATGAGATCAATGCTTCATGATCGCTTTTTAAACAAGATTATTTTTCGAAAATCCAATACTCCAAAAGGTACTTTTCCAAAATATTAAAATATTGTTATGATGATAACAGTACAAAGACTTAATCTGACTGACTGTAAAATGTGTTGTCAGCAATAAAGTAAACTCTAGGTCTTTTAGAAGATTAGTGACATGGTCAGCCATTATTCCTAGCATATCAACAACAACGGCTGATACAGCTCGCGTTAAGCACATTCCATCAGAATCCATCAAGAGAAGTTTTCGGCCTATCGGGCATGTTTGTATGTCCGAGCGACCAATGGCATAATAACAAGCCAGCTCGCTTATCAGCTTCCATTTTGTTTTATTCCATGTGACTGTGCGTATCTAACATAGCGCACATCGTTTGTATCTCCAAGTGGTACATTATGAATGAATCTGTCCACCTAGTGAATATCTACAGCACTTTCATACAATGTGTGAAATCTACTCCTAATATGGGTTTGTAATGTAACATGCCTAGCAAGTGATTTTGTTTACTAGGTGGAGATATTTTAGAAATGCGTGTAAAATTTGATACCGATAAATTTGGTGATCCCTGACCGCTTTCCAGCGCTTCTGGTGTTATGTGGATATGCTCTCGAAGAGTCTCGCTCCTTAAAAATATTTACTTAAGGCGGCTCAGACGCAGTGACTTTCAAGCCATTTGCAAGGCTTCTGCAGCTTCGAAACTGACACAATGCGATGATCTGATGATAAGTGAAGGTCGTGTTATATATAAATGGCTCGGATCTCGCCGTATTGTACGTTATACCTATTGTTTTAATTATATGTTAACTTCTATTATACGAGTTTACCAAGAGAATATGCGAACATCCATTGCTGTGAGTCACAGGAATACAAAATAATATGAAAATAATATTAATGAAATAATATACCTATATGCTAAATAGTGTGGACAGAAAAACTGACCTCAGAATGAGTTGCATTTAAAAATAATGAATGAAAACGAGGTTTTGTAAGTACATCGTATCACCAGATATTAGCGCTCATGTGAGCGTATATGTAGGGGTTGTACAAAAAGCTGTCGTCTTCAAAGTACAAGAAATGTTACAAATATTACTAATTCTATATATATTATAATGCGGTTAATTAGCCCGCAAGATATCGTGCGAAGCTGCCAAAATCTTGAATCTACGTTCATATCATGTCATTATAATCAATTAATTTATTATTTAAATTAATAATATCAATATGCGTCGTCGAGAAGGTGTTGTATAAATAATCCAAATACATTTGTGGTAAATATGTAGTGAAAAAGTTTAGAAAACCTATAACAGATTCAGTGAAGAACACATACGTTGATTACTTTAATTTAGAGATGAAGGCTCTGAACAAACCGTGGGTTCCAAACATTGTGTGCAAGTTGTATAGTGAACATTTAATACAGTGGGCAAACGGTAAACGTAATCTTTTAAATTATAGTGTGCTGATGATTTGGACAGAACCGAAAAATCACATTGATGACTGTTATTTTTGTGTTGTAGAATTACATGGTATAAACAAAAGAAAAATGACATATCCTGATTTACCGTCTGCTAAAAGACCTCGACTGTGTTCAGATGACGTATCATCTCCTATGAGTCAAGATCTTTCAGATCTATCAGATTTGTCGGACAGGGAGATGGTGGAAGTTTTTTCTGATGAACGTGACAATGATTTTGAAGTGTCAACAAGCGCCTTCACTTTTTTCTCAAGATGCTTTGAGTGATTTGATTAGATACCTTGACCTTTCGAAAGAGCGATCTGAGCTACTGGCATCTAGACTCAAAGAAAGAAATTTGTTAACTCAAGATACAAACGTAACATTTTATAGAGATCGGAAAATGATATACTTTAGTTTATTGTAATAATACTGGTGGTCTTCTAATGAAACTGGGGCTCTCAAGGTACAAAGCTGAAGAATGGAGATTGTTTTTGGACAGCTGTAAGCGAAGTTTAAAGTGTGTTTTACTAAATATTGGTAATAAGCATGCGGCTGTATGTATTGCTCATTCAACGAAATTAAAAAAGTAGTATCAAAACGTGGATGTTGTTTTAAAAAAACTCAAGTACTCGGAGCACCAATGGGTTATATGTGTCGATTTAGAAGTGCTCAACTTTTTATTAGGTCAACAAAGTGGGCACACTAAATGTCCATGCTTCACATGTTTATGGGACAGTAGAACAAGAAAAGACCACTGGATCAAGAAAGATTGGCCTTTAAGAAATATAACATGAGGGTTGGCAAACAAAATATTATAAACCCGCCCTTAGTGTCTAGAGATAAGATTATTCTGCCTCCATTTCACATCAAATTTGGACTTATCAAGCAATATGCTAAGGCATTAGATAAAACTGGTCCGAGTTTTTTATATCTTTCAAGGAAGTTTCCCGGTTTAAGTAATGAAAAACTAAAAGCTGGTATTTTTGATGGCCCATAGATAAGACTTTTATTGAAAGACAACGATTTCATACATTCAATGAATAATTTAGAAGCAGCGGCGGCTTGGAAATCTTTTGTTGCTGTCGTAAAATTTTTTTTTAGGAAATCAGAAGGCCGAAAATTAGAAAGAGTTAGTTCAAAACCTCTTGATTAGCTTTAGAATTCTTGGATGTAATATGGACAATCATTTAGATAAGTTTCCTGAAAATATTTTTGAGCGAATAGCTAAGAACAAGGAGAACGTTTCCATCAAGATTTAAAGATGATGGAAGATAGATACCAAGGTCGCTGGGATGAGCATATGATGGCACATTACTGTTGGAGTATTACACGGGATTGTCCTGGAGACATCCATCGGAGAAAATCTAAAAAGAGAAGCTTCTAACCTGTAAAATAATGTGTAATTGAATGTAATCAAGTGTTTTGAATCAAATGTTCTTTTGCTTTCTAATAAATTAATCAAATGCTTTTTAATTTATTTACCCATGCGAAATCTCGAAAACTACTTGTAGGATTAACAAAGTAGGTATCAAGTTTTTATCAGGGAACCGAATGTAGTTGAAATCAGTTTTACTTTTAGCGGCACCACAATCATAATAGACCTGAGTAAATGATAAAGTTCACCACTTGGTGGGAATCCCTCCTCCTGAGTTCGTGGGGAGGCGACCATCTAAAGGGAAAGAATAATGTCGAATGACCCCGAACACCCTCTGTATGGCATTCAAGCGGCGCCACGCAAGCTAAATTCTCACGAAACTTTTCTTAGAGCAACATAGGACTATACCCGTCAAAGCTCATCTAAGTTAGAGAGATGGCAAGCATCAAGCATCAAAAGATCACCACTAGATCTCCCAGCTGAAGATTGTAGCTCCTCGTCACCAAGAATCACGGGAATGGTAGAAATAGCGCAATAGACTACGGATTGAGATCTGAGACAACCATCAGATGTAAAGATATTCTCGAGAAATAGGGATTCCTCATGTCGTCTAATTTAGGTGACCTCAAAGTCCTTCCCGAATACGCCAGTGCTACAAGCCGTGCTGGAAATACGCGAACTTATTGAATAAATAACATCCATTTCTACAGTTAATGTGCTTTTTATTTTATTGCAGTAGGTATATATAGAACCAAAAATACATTGCAATCTTATCTGTAATCTCTGTTTGAGGAAAATCGACAGCAAAGTGAAATAACCTGTGTTTCAACCAACTAATGTAGAATTGCTCCACAGGCTATAATCTGGTTCGCGATGACATCTTGGCAACATCGATCCACGATGACAGATTACGTCATTGAATTGTCAAGTGCCATCAGTGTGTCTGTGTGTCAGTTGTGGTTATGTTATTTGTTGTATGAAATAATATTCTAAATTTTCTTCAATAAGTTGAGAATACTAGAGAATTATGACAGAAAAACTAACAACGATTCAAGAAAAGCTTGTGACAAACGGCACAATAAATTCCAAGGATGCCAATCAAACAAGAACGAAGTCTGGGCTTATGAAACTATCTAGTTATGTGTTGGCCCTTCGCCCTTGGTCTCTAAGTGGCAGTTTGATGCCCACGTTATTAGGATCAACAATAGCATACAAATGCTCAGGCAATGCAGAATTTAACTACATTACACTATTATTAACAGTATTAACAGTTGTGTCTGTCCATGGTGCAGGCAATGTGGTCAACACTTACTTTGACTATGTGAAAGGAATAGACAATAGGAAATCAGATGATAGGATTCTTGTTGACCACATACTCACAAAAGATGAGGTGGTATCATTAGGAGCATTGCTTTATTTTGCTGGATGTGTAGGATTCATTTTACTAGCCACCATTTCTCCTGCAAAAATGGAACATCTAGCACTAGTTTACTTTGGAGGACTTTCTTCTAGTTTTCTTTATACTGGAGGTATTGGCTTCAAATATATAGCATTGGGAGATGTGCTCATTTTGATTATTTTTGGACCCATTTCTGTTCTTTTTGCATTTATGTCACAGACTGGAAGATTGGAATGGGCAACAATATACTATGCTATACCACTGGCTCTTAATACTGAAGCAATTTTACACAGGTGAGTTGATCTTATTCCCCTGAATTTTATAAGAAAAGTCTCAAATATTTATTAAATTCATTTGTTAACTGTCCTTTACATTTATTTTATCATTTATTACAGTTTGGCATCAAGCCATTTATATGCAGGACTCCTCATACTAAAAAACTTCTTTTCCAAAGAGCTGCATATCAAATACCTTTGGTAGTTATGTTTTTGTGATATAATTGTAAAGTATTATATAACTAACATGGGCTTCACATAATAATGATCTCCAGTCTTGTACTGGGTGGGAAAATAATAAAGGATACCAGCAGTATCTTGGCAACACCTCAACCTAGATGCTGTAAATTATTTTCTGCTTCATAAAATGGCTGCTAGGTTGCATCGTTCCAGTTTCAAAAATGCAAAAGCCACTATTTTGCAAAATAATCTTTCTTAACATACCCATTAAATAGCCTCATCATGTAGACTGCACAATCTCAGAACTTTTTTGTTTATGTCAGCACTTCTATTTGACTGCATTGATCTTAATGATCTTGGTTCCATTTAAAACAGTATTGACCTGTGCCCCTAATGAATGCTCAATCATGTTAAATTAGTTCATTAGTTCAGTAGATGTTGCTTTGTGGTTGTAATTTTTTTTTATGTTTGTAAAAATTTTCAAATACAACAATATAAATTTTTATATTGATCTGAAAGTGCATAAAAAATCCTATAAAATAGTGGAAACCACAGATCAGTATGTTAATTTGTTATGGAGATATATTAAGGAACAAAATTACAATTTTCAAGCACTGCTGGGTAACCACTGGGGAGTGGTGTAGCTATTGCCTGATACATGAATAATCATTGTTTCTTTAATTATACTTTATGTTTTATCTTAGTTCGTCTTTCAAATATAAACAACTCAAAAAATACTGCATGTCTACCTTTTTGTCTTATTTAGATCCTCTAAGCATGCAAGTTCACTGTCTCACATCCTTTGTATTTCAGCTATTTCATTGAAAAGAGCATATTAATAAAATCTAGTGTGCTGTTCTAGGACAGGAACAACAGAGTAAATTAATGCAAATCTCAAAATTTAATAAAAGCAGTTCTAACATGTGACCATACATTAATAACTTGCCTGGAAGTATTTTCAAGTCACAGAGAAATCAAGTAGGTTCTTTGAGACTTCATACATATTTTAGAAAATAGATTCATTGAAAAAATTACCTTAATTTTTTGCTACAGGTCTAGAATGACATGGCACACTAGATTTTATTAATATTCTCTTTTAAATGAAATAGCAGTTATATTACCCTAGATATGACAGATCTCATATTTCACATCCTCAATTCATCTAAATAGGACACATAGGTAGAAAAAACAGATTTTATGAATTGTTTATATTTCAAAGCGAACTGAGATAAAATATGAGGCATAATTGAAAAAACGTAAAAATAAATTTAAAATATCTTCAAATCGTGTCAAATACAAACATTTAACGCAACTATTCATAGCTAGCATAAATGTTCATTCTTGTCAGGTAGTACTTGAAAATTCTAATTGAATGTAATTGTAAAGATACTGATCTGCAGTTTTAACCATTTTATAGGCTTTGTTGTGGACTTTCCAATCAATAATTAGGAGCTCAGGTAATACTTTTTCAATCAAAACCAACATCATATAAATTGGTGTAGCCACCCAGAAGTTGTGCATTTTTCTAAATTGACATCCAACCCTTCCCCGCCCTAAGCTAACAAAAATGAAAAAAATTACAAAAATAAAAAGTTCGGAAATGAGCATGTTACTTACGAATTTTTGCAATAATAGCTCTAATTTGAGCGGTTGCGGCGATACAGCCAGCATCCTTTATTGTTGGTCCACCCATTATGCTTACACTTTCCAATGGAGAATAGAAAATAATATATTTTACTATAATTAGATTACAGTTACTATAAATATGAACAATAATATTTATGTGAACAATGGTTTTTAAATTTAATTATTACATAATTTTACTTATGATAGAATTTAAAAAAGATGTGATATAAAACAAAAGTGCACATTTAGTTTATCATTCACTAATGATTTGACTCCTATGAAAGTTCCAAATTAAAAATTTACCAAATAATATTTGAGCAGCTACATAAAGCATGATGTTAACACGACATTGTGTCTGTATTCACTTGCCTATATTTGACTATGGCTAGGCACAATATTACATACAACTTTTGCTGTTAAAAGTAATTTGCAGAATCTGTTTGTCATCTGACATGGTCTGTGGTGCCTTTATTATTCATTGATCTGACAAGAAGAACCTTTATATAAGGATATGATGTAAACAAAAATTTCAAACTCTTTTAGAATATATTTATTGCAGTACCTTGGTATTTAAAATGGCAATGACAGAGTAGTTAATTCAAGAAAACATTTTAATTATGATATATTAATCATTTCTATTTAGGGCTATCATAGTATATCAGGAGATTCCAGGGAAGAACATTGAAAAGGATTTCTGTCTCTGCAACACATACTGATGAGAAAAATCCATCACTATCTCGGTAGCTTCCGACAGTATCTATATCCTGGCAGCTCTGAAATGCTAAGATGGCGATATCCCGACCTACACTTGCGACATCACAGTTGATTTTTCTTATCAGTGGTTGCTGCTGGACGGGATTTTTTTTTGATAATCTCTCCTGTTATGGTACAGTGTTAGGTAACAAAGATGAATAAAATGCATTGCCCATTTTAAAGTTAATAACTTAAACCTCAAGTTGGCTATGAAAACGAAACATTGCTAGCACTATCTTTACTACTACAGACTATCAAAGTTTGCGTTTTTGGTAACCATTCGACGCTGCTTTCTCACGGCAAAATTCGAGCCGTTCTGTGACATATAGTAAAAGGGGTACGAAGTTTTATTTAATGTAATGTCAATATCATTATTATTGTTTCCCAGTAAAATCGCTCAAATTTCGTCTTTTTAACGTTTCAGACGCTCCTGATAATTTTCAGAAAAAAATGTATAGTGGTTAAGTTTTTTGATTAGGGACTGTAAGGGGTGACGGAGGGTATATGTCAATTTTTTATGATAGTATATATACAGGGTGTTCCATAATTATTGCGACAAAATGATAGGGGTTGTAGAGGGCATCAAAATGAACAATTTTTCCTTATAAACCCCTGTTCGGAAATATGCCGTTTGGGCTGCAGCAAAAAAAAAAGATCAGTTTCTTGAAACAGCTTACCTACAGTAATTGCTCAAAGTGTCCTCCACCTTGCTCAATACACAGCTGTGCACGATTGTTCAATGATCGGCGAACTCTGTGGCATACCCCCGGTATGTCCTGAACATGTGCGGACGCGGCCATCACTCTTCCCAGTAGCTCTTGTTGGTTGGGAACAGGAGTTTCGTACACTAAAGCTTTCAGATAGCTCCAGATAAAATAATCCAGTGTGGTCAGGTCAAGTGACCGCGCAGGCCAAGGCACAGGGCCACCTCGGCCTATCCACCTATTTGGAAATTTGTCGTCCAAATACTGCCGCACTTGTAAAGAAAAGTGGGCTGGACCGCCATGGTGTTGAAACCACATGTTGGCTCTTATATTCAGTGGCACATTTTGTAATAGTTCCGGTAGCACATGCTGTAAGGATCGACCATAAGCATGCCCATCCAAACGTGGTGGAATCAGATATGGCCCGATGATATGCTCGTCCACAATGCCGCACCAGATGTTAATTGAAAACTGATGTTGGTCTCTATGGATGGCTATGGCATGAGGGCTTTCTTCATCCCAAATGTGACTGTTATGGCTATTAAAATAACCGTCCTTTGTAAAACAGGACTCGTCAGTGAACAAAACGTAGCGACCAAAGTTTGGTTGCCTCAACTCCTGCTGCAGCCACCAACGGCAAAAACGTCGACGCGGCAGATAGTCTGCTGGACCCATGGCTTGGTCTTTTAAAAGGTGGTACGGGTGTACGATAACAAAAATGTAAACACAGCAGGCTTTTTTTACAAACCGGTGAGACCATGAAATGTGCTAGACGAACATTTTGCAGCTGGTGAATTTTTTGTTTCTCCTATGAGCTCTTAAGGTAAAATTAACTGTAGTGCTCAAACGGCATATTTACGAACAGGGGTTTATGAGGCAAAATTGCATATTTTTATGCCCTCTACAACCCCTATCATTTTGTCGCAATAATTATGGAACACCCTGTATATATATTTATATGCTCCCTACGCCGGTAATTCTACGCACCTGTATTAGCCATATTCAACAAATCTTACGTTTCCTCGTGCATTTGTCTTCAAAACTTAGAATGAGAAATATTTTCGATACGAGTCTCCCCCTTGTGTCTGGGCTTACCGTCTGGCGTACCGGTATGGTCTGACAGTATGGAAAAGGGTAACAGTGACAGATGGACGGTAACTACCGGTAGGTTGGATAATGTCTATGGACTAATTGTATGGGCCGGTTTGACTGACTTGATCCGATTAATGTCTCTAGTGTACATGTTCGTAACTATTTTTTTCAGAGGGTTTAATTTGTGATGAACTTAATCCTTTATGAACTGATGACGGCGTTGCGTGAGAAGTGTAGAACTTACTTGACGCGTTATGTTGTTTTTTTTAAAGAGGTTTTTAATAAAGTTCCACTCTTTATCCAAATTGAGATTAATGATGACCAGATGAAATATAGTCAGTTTTTGATAACATTTACAAACAGTACATAATACATCCCTTGATTTGCCGTAAAATGACTGTCAAACGCTTTTATACCTCAAAATTATCTTGAAGTGACTTAAATTCCCGGGTTTAAAATTAGCTATCCAAAAAACTGCTGTACACAATATTATGTAAATGCAGTAAAATATTCTTTGTCAGCCTTTCTGTGACATGTGACATAATTGTATCTATTCCTTCCAGCAACAACACAAGAGACTTGGAATCAGACAAGAAAGTGGGGATAGTGACTCTGGCCATAATAATCGGTCACACAGCTTCTCACGTCCTCTACGCTTTCCTGCTATTCACTCCTTACATAATGTTCATGGTGGCTTCTCTGAAATACTCTAAATGGTTCATGCTGCCTCTAGTTACCCTGCCCAGCGCGTTTAGAATCGAGAAACAGTTCCGCAGCAATGACATGCACACCGTGCCCAAGAAGACTGCCAAGTTGAATCTGTTTTTTGGTGTGTTGTATGTTCTGGCATGCAGCATGGTTCCGTCGTTACCGTACATATCGAACAGATAGATGATCGAGTGTGTTATTGTATTGTTTGTTTGTGGTAGAGCATTTTTCATTGTTCTCAAGAATTTGTTGAAACTCTAATCTCAGTTTACTGGTCGAAGACTATTAGACAAATGACAACTCGGTGATTATACTGGATGTTTCAAGATTGAAACTAATTGAATAAACATTATTTATAGCCACTGTAAATACATTTGTTTTTAATATAGGGACATAATGTCAAAAATACCATTCAAAGTATTCACAAAACTATTGATTCTACAATAAACTGATTGATGAATTTCATTTTCTACATGTTTTTAGTTATCCATTTTATAGTAATATGACATTTTCTCATGTGGCTTTTCAAACGCCAGTAAAGTCATCAATTCATTGTCTGTGGTATTTACTTGTCAGATAATTGTGGCATGTGCTGTAGGGACAACTATAGAATGGGTTTCATAAATTACACTGAATTTTAGCGAGGTATCATTTTGATAATGTATGATGAAAATATTTTTATCTTTCATTCAGGATGTCAGTCATATGAAGCAAAAAGGATCTTGATCCTTGAAGTAACGTTGAAAAATGAATGTTTTTAATTTCTACATTCTATTTAAAGATTAATTCCTATGGCGGACAAGATTCTCATTCAAATTCGGCCATTTTTAAATCTTAGTTGGAATATTTTAATACATATTTGGATTATTAATATGCAAAATTATGTTATATGGTGCTTACGTTCTGAAACTTTACATTTATAGCGAGAGTGATCTAGTATAGACTATAAGAGATGTATTTTGTATATATTGCTTTATGATTTAATTAATAAACTTCGTCACAACTGTGGGTACAATTCTTGAAAACATATGGTTCAATATTTCAGTTTCACATATCATTTCACTTTTATACACTCCAAAGTTAGGATGTGGGGATCTCAAGGAATTTCCTTCTCTATTGAATAATTATGTAGGTATCTATAAACACTTTTACTTTCCACACCTACTGGCGGGGAAGTATTGTGATCGCGAGAATTGTTGCACATCAAATAACATCTGTATTTTCAATTTCAATGGTAAAGAGGAAATTGTCGAGTTGCAATATATTGACACCATTTAATTCCTGTTTTTTAAACTTCTACCATATGTCTATAAGTTTTTTTATCAAATGCTTTAATGAGTAGTAGATTTACTACTATTATGCGACTTTGATATTATTTACACCATGAGAATGTTTATAAACTTATTTATTTGTATTTGTCACGTCACCACATCTTGATTTGACAGACAATAATGTAAACTGATGAATCCATAATTATAGCTGCTATACATATAGAAAAATACAATTATAGTATATGTTGTATACAGAGTCTATTTATTTTTAAGATATGAGACTTTATTAAATAATATTATTTATTTACTTGCGACTTTTTCGTAAACAAAATATTTTTAGAAGAATTGAGATAGTGTCATATAGAATCATACATGATTCGAGTTTTGGCATTTTGTAGAAAACTAAGTTGAAAGAAAGGGATGTAGAGAAAAGGTATAAGTTTTGGTATGGTACTAACTATTGCTGTGGTGTCTGTTGAAGTACAACAGCTAGCAACTGTGGCACAGAGGATAAGTTGAATATATATTCAAACTGGAAGTTGCCCATTCATCATGTAGACCCCTGACACGCCATCGCGTGAATTCGCGACGTACCAACTGTCGATCTTATTTTTACATCGCTGAAGAAACGGTTAATTTTTAACAAACAGTATATTAAATTTTGTAGTTTATATATTACGAAGAATATTTGAGTAGATATCAATAGCTGTATCTTGTAAGTATTTAGACTACCCGTCAAATTCAAGGTTAAACTCGCATGGAAACCGATCTATATGATAAGTTTGTGGAAAAATTCGACACATGTTGGTAGTACCATTGAAATTGTACCACCATTCTCATAGTGATTCAAAGTGGCAACACTGCTCGATGCTCTCTATTCACTGAAGGTTGGTGCTGCAGTGTTTCACTTTCACTTCCAATGGTACATATTGTGAGTATCTACCTTACTGTCGAAGTAAGTTGAAAGAAAGTTCAATCTGTTAAGCATATATGATGCAGGTATATCCTTCATTTTGGCGACTAGTTTAGGAGAAACTCATCCAATTATTATATATGGTTAATTATAAGAATCAATTTATTCCTAAACAAATCAGCATCTTCCATTAGTACCTAAGACCTTCGAATAGTATAGTTTTTGACGAATGTTTTTTCATGAACTTTTTATCTATGAGAAAAAATTTTAAGTATAATGGGCATAGTGACAATAAATCACAAGTCTGTGAATATTATTCTCCTATCACAGTACACTAAAAATAATGCGGTGTTTTAAGAACTTAGGATTTTCACATGCATTGTACACTTCTACACAAATATAGACAACCTATAATCGAAAAATCTTATATCCCCCTATAAGCTGTGCTTTTTCTAGAAAAGGTGCTTTAGAAAGATGAAATAATATCACTAATACTAACTAATACTGTCAAAACACTACAAACCAAAAATAAAATGAGTCATTAATTTATGTGTATTTGATTTTTCCCCAATTACTTTACAATATAGATACTTATGCATTTTAAACAGTAAATAAATTGATTACAAATAGTACACAAGAAAGGGCTGAAGAACTCACAAAGCAAGCGGAGACAGCTGCATTGCACAATACATAGAGCTATACCAAATAAAAAACGATTCACATAAATCGGATATTGTAAGATCCAAGACAGGGAAAGTGCTCACGACGACAGATAACCAAGTAGAGCACTTCCATGTAATGTTGGGTGCACCTCTGGATAATAAAATAGACATAAGCCCGTAAAGTATGGAAAACATATATTTGCATATATCTAGTGAAGCCCCCTCCTAAAAAGAGATAATGGCGACTGTTAAATCCCTGAAGAATAATAAATCTCCGGGAACAGACAACGTGGCCGACGGAATTTGTAAAATCAGATCCACATACAACTGCGGAATTTCTGCTCCCTATAATCAGAGAGGTATTGGAAACAAAACCAAAGACCAGCGGGCTGGAAAGAACATTATTGAACTCTCTAAAAGGGGCGACTTAACACTATATAAAAACTGGAGGGGAATAATTCTTCTTAACGTTATAAACAAGCTTCTCACCACCATCATACTAAATATAGATTATCGGACAAAGTTGTATTTAGCCTAAACCTACAGGCTCCAAACCAGAAACTATGAGAATAATAATAGAGCAATGGGTCGAATGGAACACACCTTTATACTTGGTCTTTATAGATTTTAAGCGCGTCTTCGTTAGATTGCACATGCAGGGATCTGAAAAACCTTGGAAGTATAATAACAGAAAATGGAGGCACACAAGAAGATATTCGTACGATAATACAAATTCGAAAAACCCAGCAAGCAGTTGGCATGCTTGTCCCCTTTTGGATATCTACCCAATACACCACGAAGACATAGATACGAATATATTTCAGACAAATGTAAATGGGCGAGAAACCTGGAAGGCGACAAAAATCTCATCGATAAGCTACAGATCTTTGTTAATAAGTGCCTACGAAGAATTCTTAGTATTCTTTCAGTCTTACCGATAGTCCATCTGGCAACGTCGACATTCCTCGATGCCTGACGGAACAACGCGTCAAACTCGGCAGTAAGGCCAGGACACGTGCCTAGACCGGTATACGCTCACCGCTGATCCCAGACAGCAGAAGCTAGGGAAAATGTACGGAGAAATCTATAAAATGTGTGAGTAATAAGTCTAATAATAGGTGCGTAGGTTGAAAGCATATAAAGATACTGAAATTAAATAATGAGATGTCCCTCCCCTACCCCTAAAGTTTTTAAAAAATGATCAGGACCCCGTAAAACGTCAAAAAACTGAGTTTAAGAGTTTTTCGTTTTTTGCCGTTTTCTCCACCGCCGCTGGACCAATTTTCAAAAACTATAAAGCTTTTGGCATAATAGTAACCTTTAGTGAAAATTTTACCAATACATTCCAACTCATAGACGGGCCAAGGATTAGCAGACAAACAGACCGACGGAAATGAGTGACATGGTTTTTCGTGATGTACATGACATAACATCCAAAACATCTCATTTACGAAATTTTATGCGATTAGAATACTTTCTTGCCAGAGGATGTCCACCTCAAACTTAGAGAATATCAGTTCTGATGAGCTAAGAAGACAAGGCGAAACGTCTCTAGCTCAAAATAGAACTCGCGTGTTTTAACTGATGCTCCATGTTCCACTTAGGGGGTCTAAGAACCATTTATATATACAAATGTATTGGCATCTTAAAATGGAATTGCAAATAATGACTGATTCTGAAAAAAATTAGTTTATTAAGCAACAATGGACATGCAAATAAAATTTGTAAACAAAAAATTAAATATCAATTAGTTTGTATAAAATCTACTGGTAATCAAAAAATGGGATCAAAGCATACATAGCAAAAGTGACACAGAAAAATTTATATTTCAAGAGATTACACTGCATAAAATATGGCTAGGTTTTTTGTGTAATATATTAAAATTTTGGGTTGTCACTATTGCAAAAATGGTAAGTTGGAATGCATATATTTATTGTGAATTCAATATTATTACATAGATTTCATCTTTGACATGAGCTCTTCTAAGCTGACATCATTAGTTGCAGTTGCCTCTTCACATTCTTCAATACTGTTATCACCTGGTATTTCATATGCTAATTTTAAACCTTCTGCTACCATAGTTTCCTCTCTACCAGTATCTCCACTCTCATCAACTAAATTAATTCCCCATTCATTCTCCTCATGGATCGGCTTCTCATCTTCCTTTGCTTCTATAGCCACCTCTGGTGGTCGGTATCTTGAAGCAAATTCTTTTTGCCTCAATCTGCAGTTTGCATCGTCACAATTTGGGTTAGGTTTCAACCTCATTGTAGGAAAGAAGTCTGTCAGAGCACTGTAGCCCAAATAATTAGTAACTTGTCCAAACTGCAGTAAATATTTGAGAGTGTTCTGTACTAAGAATCCTGCAACAATACCCATGGTCGTTGGAAGACTTGCTGCACAAACACCATCACGTTTCAAGGTCTTTTCATCAATGTTTGATGCAACAATCAAAGGTGGTGCACAAGCAAAACAGGCTGTTTCACCTGGGTTAATGTATTGAATGTGACCTGATACTGCATTTTCAGCAACACCTGATTCAAACCATGGTAGATTGTGCTCATTACAAGCAGTGTTAATTGTGAATCTTGCTTCAAAGTTATCCACACAGCTGAGAACAAGATCAACTGGCCCATTTTTCAAACTGCTGGTTTTCAAAACATTCACAAAATGGTCAAAATTATCTACTGTGGTGATGTTGTAGTTATAAGTGAGAATATCCACATCAGGGTTGATGTTTCTCAATGTCTCAGCAGCTGCTTCAACTTTGCTCAAACCTGACTGATGTGGTTGGAAGAATAACCTATTCATGTTTGCCAGCTCTACTTTATCATAATCAAATAAAATGAGTCTGCCTATTCCGCACCTGGTAAGCATTTCTGCTGTGACACTGCCTACTCCTCCAACACCTACTACAGCTACAGTGAAGTCTCTGATACGCTCATAATTATTTACAATGCCCATTCGCTTCAATGCCATCAAGCGACTATATGGGTTGCTATCCACGACTTCCGATGACATTTCCTTGATTTTCTCCCGAACATGTTGCTTTTCTTTAGTGGCTTCGCTCAACTTTGCTTCTAATTCCGCTACTTTCTTCTGTAACTCCTGAATTTCACTCATGATTCTCTAAACATATGTTGTTGATCACAGATTGGCTTAAGTCCCCAGTACTTCTGTATCTGTCAGGCTTCTATACCAAAACTTTATTTTCTTTTACGTGGACAATATTATTAGCTTTTTTAGAGATTATATGATTTAATTTTTTGTAAATGTTGAGACGTCACCTTTTTGATTTCAAATACAGCGCAGGCAGCTGAAAATGACGTTGTCACGTTGAGTGCTGGTGATGGGAAAATGCAGTTGTAGATGATTTGGATTACCGTTAATGCGTTAATGCAAATGGACAAAAAAGGCATTTTAAGGTGGACATTCGCCTGATTTCTTGAATACATCATTTTTGGATTTACAATAAAATATGAAAATGAATTACGTGATCATCCATAACTTTGAACGTAAAAATCTGATCCAATAATCAAATTCAAGCGGATAACCAAATGGAAATGGTATTTACCATTTTGGATTGGTATTTACCGATCCGTTCAAGCGAGTGTGGTTATCAGTTTGGTTATAAGATCCGTGACGTCATGAATCAGCTGTTATATGTCATAGTTATCACCGCAAAATTGTGGTATTTACCCAACTCCGGAGTAGTTTTATATTTCTGGTTATTATTTGACATGTGACAAGTTAGAATTTTGCCGGGTATTGGATATTTTTATTGTACTTCAGCTTCATTTTTGGGAAACTTGATACAGGCTGACTTCAGTTTTAGCATTATTTGTAATCATCACTGTTGTTGGGGACACTTTAAATCTAGTTCCTACACTTAAAAAAGTATCCTGTATAGCCATATACCACAAGAATATTAAAATATGGCCGTATAAACTCACTGGATGATGTCCACCTGTTTACGGTTTTGTTAATATCTTTTTTCATCGCTAAATCAATAAATATTTTCTTTGACATGCGGAAAAGTTTAGAGAATTGAAAGTTATCATAGCTACAAAGCCATGGTTCTATCAGTAAAAATTTTTTTTGGAAAAAAAACATTCCTCTCATTAATATTATGAAAGTTTTCTTTTTTTCAACTCTCCATACCCCGTTGTAGACGAAAAAGTACCGATTATTAAGTGATAATAAAAATAATCAGAAATTATATACGCGCTTTTCTAAAATAAACAACTTGCAACAAACCGCGGTTAAAACCAACGCGTTCAAGCGATTCGAGTAACTGACGTCACCATCCCGTGTGTCAATTTGAACCATATTATAACCGCGGTACATAATACGGAAATTTTGGTTATCCGCTTGGATTTGATTTTTATCCATGCAAATTGACAATTGTGCTGCTCTGCATGAGTTATGCGATGTCATTTGTCACTTTCTGCAAGGAGCTGTGTTGTTTTTGGTGATTCTTGTTTACGCATCAAAAAGGAAGTCTGGGCTCATAGGATTCCTGTATCAAATATCACATACTTTTAATTCTTGGTAACTGTTACTTGAACCACCTTATCTCACTGTGGATATAGGAAATATTTTATTTATCAGCATAAGTTCATTTTACGTGAGAACTAAATTTGCCAAGCAGCAGCAGTCTATAAAATAGGTAACCTTCATATTAAAACTATTTAAATCTAGGTAATCTATTTTTAGTTATGCTGAATAGTTTGACCTGCTGTTCAGTAAGCAGTCTAGTTGATTTTAAATTTATTGATGAAGAATATAAGGTAGATTGATTTGCTCACAGGTTTTGATGTTTCATTCACATCATTCATCAACCTTCACAATATGATGTAACTGAAGAACTATTTTACAGAAAGCTTGCGTGGAGGATCGGTAAACATGGCAGATCCAGGGTTTCCTGGCCAACATTCAACTACAACTACTGTCAAAACCAGTAGCACTACAGTTGAAACCTCAATACGATTTGATCAGTCATATATCAGGACATTACCAGGATTGCTCAAAATAGCAATGATGGTAAGTAGCTTATTACTTGACATCTTGTTAATGTTTGTCATCATGTCAAGTGCAAAAAAGTTAGCTGGGAAAGAAAAGAATTTATAGTTGAACTTGCAGAATTTGTAAGTTTAATTTGATTGCTGTACCTAGGAAACCTAAATATGTACATTACCAAACATGACAAAAATGGGGCATTTTTGCTTTAAATATTTCAAATTTGTGGTAAAGCAGCTAATGTGTTCTCTTGCAATGCTCTTCAAGCCTTTATTTAGTATGGAGATGTATTTTCCTATAAGTTTATATGTGATTTAATTTGTGAAATTACCATTCATTGAACAAAATTAATTTTTAATTAGAATATTCGATATCTATAACCAAACTACTGCCATAAATTTCAGTCCATATATAACCAAAACTCTAAAGCTAGTTAAAATTCACTCAGGCACGTGTAGGCCATAGTTTAGACTTTTTATATTGCAGCTCTTAAACATGACAAACAGCAGAGCCCAGTGCTACCAAATCAAAAATGCTGAAAACAGTAGAGGCATGTCAAAACCATAACTGGTAACCTATTGAACATAGTTTTCTGTCAAGTAACTATTTGTAGACATAGTTTTGTCATGCAAGCTACAATTACCCTAAAATTATTTAACTTGATTTATGTATTTAATTGCTGAAATATGAAGTTTCTTTTTGGCACAAATGGCCTTTAAAATTTTGATAGCTTTTAATGCAGATATGTAAGTTAACATTCTAATCTACAACACTTCATAATAGTGAGGGCTCTCAATTCTTTTGTAGGTAACAAATTTCATAGGATTCATATGCATCCAATGCAGTGGAGTATTTTCTTACCATACCAGAGGCTCATTCTTCAGTTTTGTATCTATGACTGCATTCTGGTTCACTGGAATACTTCTTCTGTTATACCTGTTCCATGTCATAGAAAAACTGTACAAGATACCCTGGTTAAAAATTGAATTTGTTTTTGATGCTACATGGGTGGTGATGTACTTGATTGCTGCTTCTTTAGCTGTCAGCTTTGGACCTGAGGCTTACATTGCTGCTGGGGTGAGTATATTAAAACCATAATTATTTTCATGATACAATAATTAAAAATTATGCACTCTATGTAACTAAGTTGCGGGTGGGGGATGTGGAGTAAGATTCCATTTTTTCTTTTGCGCCCATGAACCTTTGAGCTTGTTTTTGTGCAATTGCTTTATCAGTGGCACTCGTGGCATCTCACCTTGACACACAATCCACTAATTTCTTCTTACATGCTGTTTTCTGCAGCATCTGTCACAAAAGTAGAAACGAATTTAGTAAATTGAATGTATGAGTGCTTTATCATTTTTCCTTCTTGTACTTTTCTGTCTTTCTTATTGCTCCAGAAGAAAGTTGAGAGTTGTTATTTGAACATGTTATTTAACATACACATGAAAATAACCATAAAACAATGCTATCTTGAAATTGTATATACCCTATTTCACAAGTATCCATCACGCTTTGACATCTAGTGAGGTGAACAGCTGATCAGCAAGTGACATTTTTGTGTTAGTGTGCAATGTTGGCAATAATGAATTGGGTGTGAATGTAGTAAAACCTGTTTGTAGCGTTTTTTTGTATGCTAATCAACTTTTCTAAATAAAATAGCTTTTAGCAAGTACAAAATTAATCTGTAGCATACAAAAAATCAAAAGAAAATATGGCTCTGTCTACCTGGCATTGATGGATCAATAGAACAGGTTGCGTAGTCCTTTCCAGAAGCTGTAAATTTACTTGTAACAATAATACACTAAAGATATGGCTATTTCATTGCCCTTTAAGATCATATGTTTATCTTATTTTCTTCCTACATGACTTGAAATAAATCTGTATGGACAAAGAACCACAACAAAATACGGGCCTGTCTACCTGGAGTTCACCGATCCCTCGGAAATAATTATGTGCCCTGTGCTGCTATGGGGAATTTTGAGATAATACTAGATAATCGGCTGTCATTCTACCGTGATGCATACTCGTGAAATAATGTATATTTCACAGTGAATGACAAAAAACTTATCAAGCTCAACTTACTCTAAATTTGGATTATGCATCCCCCTATGCTATGTGACATTTTAGAATTTTATTAGGTCATTTAATTCGTTGTTGTCATGTTTCAAATGTTTGTGGTTGTTATAGTACCTTTTATTGATAATAATAATAATAAACATCTTTATTCGCCAAACATAACAAACTTACATTTATATTAAAAGAGAGTTTGACAAAGGGCGAATTTCAGTTGTGATACACATCTGTTCTTCCACTTATCAATGAATCTTGTGCTTATTTTTTCATGCCTATTATTGCTTTTTTATTTTATTGCTGATTTGTTTACTTGTCTAAACACTGTTTATTTAGCAGTTAATAAAGAATTTAAATTGAATGATGTGATCGGTTTCGTGTCGCTGTCTCGCGCTTGAACTGGCATGCCTATAAAGGCAGTTGACAAGTATGGTCTCGGTCAGTGGCGGCGTTAGTCATCGGCGGTCGCCAAAGGCCTCGTGTCTAAGTCTACCATTTTTTACAAGAAAATGGTATTTATTGCTGTATCTTTATGTAGAATTACCTTGCTGGCGTGCGCCTTCCCTCCTCCCACCCTCCCTCTTCAGTTATGTAACAAGGGCATTTACTCTAAAGGGCGCTGCTTAAGTTATATAAGAAAAATTTTTTTGTTGTCCGTTGGGCGATCCTAATTTCGAAAGAACTGGAATCCATAGGCGTCAACTTGAACATCGCGTGCGAAACTCGGGCAATCCCCGAGTCGTCTATTATTTCTGTTTAGGGATGCAAACATCATAGATATAAACATTGATGTATGAATAGATCAATCTTTTAGAGAAAACCATCAATGTATAAATTATCGCCTAGAAAACATGTATGTATCGAAACAGCAATTTTTGACTTTTGGCCAGCAACGTAAACGTCAATTTCTTTATCATTGTGTGGTTAATTTTGTGGTTATTATTGATAACTTTATTCGGAAGGAATATGGCTTACCATCACTTTCAGTTTTTTATTTAACGGTTTAATCCAACATCTGGTGCTTTCATTGTTCAGACTACATATCCCACGTTCATATAATTTTTAGAGCCGCCACTGGTCTCAGTCGCGTGTCTCCTTTACATGTCGCTGTCACGGCGCAGAACAGCACCTCAAGGAATGCTTTGCTTTTGATTATATCCAGTATCATTGATTTAGTATTCAACAGAAGAGGAAAGAGTAATCAATTCAGTTTTTGTATGATGGAAATTGAGGTAAAATATGTTACATGATGAGTATAACTAGCGTTTCTCTATTGTAGTTTTTTGGTTTCTGTGCTATGGTGATGTACAGCGCTGACGCCGTTCTAAAATCTTTCGCTATCCAAAGAGGAGAACTAGCTCAAGGCGAAAGAGTCATCAACACTCAACGAACGACTGTCTCAAGTCCAACTTACTAAGCATATTCTAAAATTATGTTAAAAAACTATTTATTCTAGGGTTATGTTGATATGTCACGAAAAGGTCGATAAAGACTGATGCTAGCACACCAAAATTGACATTTAGCATGCTTTTAAAACCTTCACAATTTTTATCTATTAACTCTTTCAGGGGCAAGATATATTCATAAAAAAAAGTCCTAGAGGGGCAAGAATTTATGTCTTTTTATTCAACTTTAAAGCATCAAAACAGCTAAACAAAAGTTATAAAACTACATAAAAAATAAACTAGAATAGTTATTTTAACAATTTTTGTGGTAAAACTGGTGGTACAGTTTATGTACCAGCGCACAATAACGAAACTAAAATATAAATTATTTTCTATGATAATCTTGAAAGCAAGTTTTGTCTTTTCCTAGACAAAGAGGTACTTCGCACACTGAGCAAATCCAGTCAGTCCTAACCTGCTTTTTTGAGGTGCTACACCTAGCACATCGGCGTCTGGTGTCCCTTTTAGGTTGTTGCGCACTCTGTGATTCTCACTTCCACAGGCACATATGGTTTTTGCTTTTTTATAGCCACACCAGTAGATGAAGATGATTGTCTTTTTTTTGCCACGATGGTTTCTGCGACCAAGAAATTAATCACCTCTCTTCTAAAGTCCTTCATTGACAATTTTGGCATGTTAAGTTCTTTATATAAGACAAACGAATTTACAAGTGCTGCATCGAGGAAATAGAAGAAAATGCGGTGCCACCACTTCTTTGCTTTCCGGTCAATCTTATAAACATTAAGATTTTGATTGAATTTGTCTACAAAGTTCATGTTCTGATTATAATAGATCAATGCAATCGGACAGGGGACTTTCTCAATGACACCATTTTTGTTTTTCCTCTCAACTTCTGTAAAACCTGTGGGATCATGAAAATTTGATAAAAGGTGAACACTTCTTTTGTCACGCCATTTTATAGCTACCAAATTAGTGTTCGAAGTTAGAATCTGAGATTCACCACGTTTTAAAGCTTTATCACTTGTGAAATTGGGAAGTAATTTCCTATTCGGATTGACTGTGCCACAAGCGTGAAGGTTTTTTGCTTTCAGATCTTCTAAGAGCTGGACGCTATTAAAACAGTTGTCGAAGTAGACAATGTGATGCTTGTCTTCCATGCCATTGAGGAGATATTTTACTACTCTTGCACCTAAAGATTTTTCTGTATCTTCTGATTTTCCTGTATATATCTGGAACTTCTGACAATATCCATTCTTGTTCGCCAGTATCCATACCTTATACTCTCTCTTGATCGGTTTTTTGGGAAGGTATTGCTTCAGAGAACTCCTACCCTTGTATTTAATCATTGATTCGTCAATGCTTACCTCCCTGCTTGGATTCATGCAACGTTCAAAATTTTATGTTGTTAGCAGTTAGCAAAGGCCTTAGCTTATACAGCTTATCGTAACCAGCTTCACCCTTTTTTGGCATTATTGCATTCTCATTCAAGTGGATATTGGAAAGAAGCCAACTGAATCATTTTACAGGCATCAAGGAGCTTATATACGAGTCGCGAAATTCCGGGGAACTACTCCAGTAATCTCTATAGTTGGGTGATTTCTTCAGCCCCATTAGTAAATTGATACCTAGAAAAGTTTTGATTTCCGTGCGGTTTGTGGTTTTGGGTTTGATAGATGTTTGCTGACTATACAAATTTGTCTCAAACACAGTTAAATCTAACAGATCATCGTCAAAAAACAGCTGAAATAATTTCCCAGGTGTGGGTGACTCTAAATCCTTCACTATATTTGTGATTCCAGAATCGGCAACAAAATCTTCAGGGCTTTTTGGTGATGTACTGGTTGACCAATCTCTGGTACTGGATAGTACACGTAACCGTACTTGTAAAACTGCAAGTGGTTCGTCGTCTGAATCGCTATCGGTGTCTGCTATATTCAAATCAGCATTGGTTCTTTCTGTAATTTCATATTCATCTTCAGATACATCCACAATTGATTCAGAATCAGAAGGTATAGGATCTGCGTCCAAATTTTCGATCTCGTGCAACAACTCATCATACGTCATGCCGACTAACTTGAAAGGTAATTCATTCATGGTAATGGATTGATTCCACCTGCAAACAAAACGTTTAGGGGCGATGGTACAAATATCGTACCACAACAATTCGTAGGCTATGAAAGCCAAAAAAAAAATTAAACCGTAGTTATTTGTCATTTGTATATTCTACAGATTGTACTGTTTGACTTAGCATGTAAACAACAAGAAAGCTCTATATTTTATTTACCTTTGTTCACCTCTGAACTTAAAAACACTATAATTTACGTATGAAAACAATTGACATAACCTCAAACCAGCCTACATTGAACGCCGCCGGCAGAATACTAAGAATGTGTTTCCCTAGCATCAAGTAAGCGCCAATCACCGTTGGTCGACGATTTAGACTGCTGCCATTAATACAATATGCATTTGATTAAGTGGTACATTTTTTAAGCCACTGCCCGTGTAAACGTTTTTTTTTCCGGTACACTTTTAGTACCACTTACCTTGAAAGAGTTAATGCATTTAAAATCGTTCATGGTGCTCGTTGGCTTATCACCTATCAAATCGTAGGAATTCAATAATTAAAACTTATTATCTAGCGAAGAGTCATTTGCCTCGCTAGGCATTGTATCAATCACCAGTTTTGAATAATATTTTAGTTTAGTGTAGACACACTATATAGACATATAACAACGCAATTTTAACGTGATAAGTCAATGATAGCAATACCGTACTTTACAATTTGAGTACCATTAAGATGAACATTTGATTTTCATTTCGTAAACCAAACTAGATATGTAATTTTACTTAAAAATTAATTGTAATGAAACCGATGAAGTCCTTTCATATTTTAAAGGTCTTATTTAATTTATTGAAGTTATGACCAATTTTAAATACTGGCTTTCAGAGGAAATATATTTTATGTATGTACCTATATCACAAACCTTCTATACAAATATTGTACCTCATTACTTTTTATAATAAAAACTTATTTTTATAGCACCTATATATCTAGCATAACAACAACGAAAATTTAGTAATTGTATATGTATATTTGTACTACTATGGTGTCTTGTAATTATAAAATAAGATGTTATACTATCACTTATCACCTCTTGTAATTTTTAAAAGCTAGCAACACATTCCGCACTATTATTGTATCCTAAGACAGTCGTATTTTTCAAATGGTGTTTTGTCATACCTTAATTCCTTCAACAAAAACTTGAGTGTCCATAAAGCATCTTTATATCAGTGAAACACGTTTATGAACGTAATTAAAAATAAGAATATTTCTTTTACTTTTGAATTGAGTTAATATTCTAAATTTAAAAATGATCTTTTATACCAATGGTAGGAAGCGATATATAGTCATTTCAGAGTAAATGGTTGCCTGGAAACATTTTTTGTAACTTTGAGAATGTACAGATTTACTAGTGTTTCAGGTTTGAACATAGGAAAGTAAGTAATTTTGTGTAATTATAGGACATCTATTTCATCGAATCACATTAAACATTCTCATTTTACTGCCATGTTATTTTTAAGCTGCTTTTTGTAACATTCTTTTTGTAGAAATGCCCCAATTGTACTTATTATTGTTTATTTTATGATTATTATATTGAAGCACGATATTTAAATTATATTGTGCATACAAATAAAGTATTTTTTTAAAAATGACGTTCGTTGTTTTCCATCCTCCTTTTTAGTGAGGACTAAATTCAGGCTGAGAAGCCACAGGAATGTTTACTGGCCAAAAAACTTGTTTATTAACATTGCTGTGTCACAAAGAGCATTATGATCTGAGGAACCCTGGTGTGAGTCAAACCTGTCCTTGATAAAACACTATCTCTGTGGACCTGCTAAAGTTTAGTAAGTGTTTTCATTGCCCAAGTGTGAATCAAAACCTGATAGCACACCGTTGCTCGAAACTGATGTCATTCATTTTTAGAACACAAAAAAATCGCTAGTTCAAACTTGTACTGAAGGCGGATCACATATTCCCCTGTCTCCACTGCAAGCCCGACGCTTCCAGTGTTGCCAGATCGAACGCTACATTGCCAGTCTTATCACTTCATCTACAGACCTCATATTTATTCTAGCTGCTATGACTGATTTTCCGGATAAGTCTATAAGCTGTACAGAAGAGATATCTTTCAAATGATCTAGAACCTTGCATAAAATATGCTCCGCCATTTCGTACCCAACCACGTAATGATCATCCACTTTGCTTATGTGGTGGTGTAATCTAGTAGAGATAATTTTCAAATAAATGCCTCAATGAAAGAATAGTACCTAAAATTTAAACATATTTGCCTATTATACTAAACCGTTATTTACTACTACGTATACCTCTGGACTGATAGCACCCATTATACTTATCAGTGTTAATTGTTATGCTCCTCGTCATCAGTTCGGTTTGGCGTAAAACCATGTATGTTAGTTTTTAAGGTTGTCATATTCACTTATGAATAGCTTATTAACAAAAAAAATGAATTTTTTTTTGCACGCTGTTTTAGTTCTTTGTTTGGATTACTGTTTAGGTGCCACGAAAGTTATAAATCCAGGTGAGAGGTGATTTTCTGTACTTGCTTTATGTTATTATTTCATGCATATTTTGCGCCACATGAAGATGTATCGGCGTATCATAAGACGCAGGGAGGCGGACACAAACACTAAAACTCAACAGCCTAACCGGCATTAAGCCGTGACGTTTAACTTGTCAGACATCAACATCTGATAACTCTGCTTCATAGATTTCTTCTCTATTACATTCCGTTCTCCTGAATAGATAAGCTCTACGGCTAATGATACTTTTAACAGATATTGAGCGACTTTCTACTTTTGTTCAATGCTTGCTCCTGATGGTAATAGACGTTGTCACGATAATTACTGATTGCCTTGACTTAGATTTTTTATCAGCAGTTAAATGGCAGCCAACAAAGTATTGGTGGGAACAGCAGGTATAGTCATACGCACCTTATGGAAACTTGTGATGTAGGACTATATGAAGTTCAAACAGTTATTTTGCTGACTTCCATCCAATAATGGGACGTTTTAGCTGCTTACTCATTTGAAGCTCTCAATGCGATCATAATTTGTTCTTGGTGCAATACAAGTATATGCTTCGAAAATAATAATCCTCATTTTTGTCATAGAATGTGATAAGTGCTCGCGAGTATCCTAGAATGAGCATATCCTCCAGGATAACATTCGTACGCATACAAAATGTTTAAACGAGTATTTAGCAAGTGGGCGGATAGAGGTCAAGTTACAGGTTGAGTCTCAAGCCAGTTTTCTCTTTTATACTACCTATGATAACTGGCTGAGTAAGTTTGGTGGTAACATACTGTATAGATGGCATTTGAAGAGTCGTTTTATATTCAATATATCTATAATAAAAAATCAATGATTTCATAATAGAAAGACAAATCTGATCGAAAAGGGCTAAACATGCTCCCGCCAGCTCCCTGTGTGCCCAACTACCGGATATTGATCTGACATCAGCTAATTCCTAGCATCGGGGCAATCAGAGACAATGGGCGATAGCACAGCACATCGATGCGTCACGCCAGTAATTGATATCGGTGACATACCGCTTCACAGCACGTCATATTAAGCCACCTTTTTTATCGGCGTAAGAGCAAATCGTGTATTCTGTGTCTGTTAGCTATATTACTGATCCGAATCTACGAACATCAGGGTGTCCACAGGTTCATTTGTAATAATTGTTTTGCTGGCTACTCATTGTTACTCTTTTTTACCGGAATTTCTCTCATTATTTTGGGATGTTAGACTATGCAGTGATGCTCCATAGACGCGCAGGTCCTATAGATCGAACAATTGTGGGAGTTAGACGCACCTTCATCCCCACCCGCTCTTTGTTATCTGTTTCCGGAAGTGTCGCTTATAACCTCCCCCATTCTTGATTTTTTCAATCGTCGGCACTCGCTTTCAGAAGCGTTGCTTAATTCAGTCACCCTTCCTCCTTCAATTTTTAATCACCAGCAACAGATACGAACAGAGGAAAGCTGCTTCAAAACTAATCATTTTTCCTTCCAAATTACTCATTTTTCTCATTTGTTCTTCGACATCTCCAGCCCGTGAACATTATGACGAACGTCAGTCAATTCAAAGCACATCAAGAAACATTTCTTAAGCTTTATAGCGGCGACGGTACACTGGTATTGATATTACTTTAAAAGGCTACTTAGGTATAATATTAAAAATGTTAAATGCAAAAACAGATAATTGCATCCGAGTTTGTTTTTTTATCTAATCAGTAGTCGCTAAAACCTGAAAAGCTGTACAAGAGAACGACTCACGTTCTACTAAAATAATGTGTAATACTGTCTATTTTTTAAAAGTATATATGATTAAATACCTATTCGAGTAAAATGTAGAAAATAAGAAATATGATACCTCGTATCAAAGATCACGAAAAATAAATACTGTTCCTTATTTGGTGAAATATTGTTTTGTAATTTTGTAGGTGCTACTGATCTTAAAGTCGTTGATCTCCATGCTGACTCAAAAGAAGTGGAAGGTAAGAGAAGCACTTGCACTTTTTTCTCTATATCCGAGTGAAAATACTGAAATCTATTTGAATTCAGAACTGAAGTATGTACGTATTTATTGGCTTTTGGCAGATGAAAGTTAGAATAGAAATTTACTCAAAAAAGATTCAAGTTTCAAGTTGAATAGTATCCTTCAAGAGATGTGAATAACATTTTATGTATAGAGGGTGTCGCATGCAAAACTGGAGCGATCGTTCTTAGCACAACTAATGAGAGCAATTCGGATACAATATTTTCAAAATGGTGGCGCTTTCGGTTGCACTAAAAATGGATACAAGCTTGCTTATTTTAAATAGAATATCCTGTATAACATATTATTCAGTTATTCAATTCTATGCAAAAGAATAAATACGTTTCATCCTTTTCCTCGTATGTTTGCATTTGCTATATGATTTGTAAGGGATTTTTTATAGTAGGGGACCTACTTTGTTCGATTTTCTTTTCTGAATTTGGATAAAAAATGGTACAAGGTGGACAAAAAAGAGAATGAAAATTAGATTTTAAAAAAACACAAAAAAATCACATTTTTTCAAATGGAAACGATGTGACACTAGTTCATTGCGCGCCTACTTCAAGTGAGTCTGAAGTAGATGTCAGATAATTCAAAGGTGACATTTTATAGGAAAACCAATTGAATGTCAAAAAACCTACATGTCATAAAGGACTTTTTCGCGACTCCACGGTGTAGCACAATGCACTACTGGGAACCGATAGTCAAATTTACGCGAAGAACGGGCATATAATTTCATTTAAAAAACAGGCATCTCAATTGAAAATTTGTCTTCGCAGTGCCCAAAAAAAAACACGTCCACCTGATTTTAAATGACGAGGTAGAAGGTCATCGAAGATATATGAACCGCACTTGTCATATCAAATGATTGATTTTATTGATATATATATATAATATGTACATACAAAAAACGATCGGTCTATTTATACAAGGCAACTAAGTTTATCAAGGAGCTTAAAGCAAACATTTTGCGCAACATGCGCCATGTAACCACTCCCGGTGTAACTTGAAACTGTCAAAACTTCGAGAGGAAGGGGAAATTCCATCTGTTCCCGCTCCGGTTCACTACGGGATCTCGCGAAAAAATCTCTATAGAAAATTGATATGTGTCACTTTGTAAGTGACGTAATAAGGAGCATTCAAACAAGAGAAAAACCAGTATTTCCATATATCTCGAAAACCACTAATTTATAAACTGGATAACCTTATACAAAATTAATCCATTTGAAAAAATCGACCATCTGAGCTTTTTAGAATCTAATGATCGATCTCTTTTTTGACAACCCTATACTAACAGTTATTCAAATCCGGAATAAAATCTATTGAAGTAGGTCTCATTCTACAAGATGCCCCCATTACAAATGACATGGAAAAGATATAACGGTTAGACTTAGGTATAGAATGATATACTTACTTTCATGTCTTACGTCAACTATTTGGATAATCGATCGCTGGAGGTTTACGTAGGACACACTGTATACTTGTGGCCTAAAAGAAATTATACTGAAGGGAAAGTATGTTGCTAGCTACGTCTAACTTGAAGTTAATCAACTACTATACTCTAAAGATTGTGGTCTTGAAATATTTTAAACAGTAATATTTGGAACCACTCCAATTCAAATCCCAGTCCATACTTCTGAAATATCGTCAGCTAATAGTGTTAACCAACATATTTACCTATACAGTGTGTCTCAATTGTATAATGGCAATACTTATAATGCAGAAGATATATACTTCAAATATTCAAACCAATTTTTCTCTAAAAGGGTCTAACAAACATTTCTCAAGGGAGGTGATGTGTAAAATTTACTGATACTAAAAAACGCAAAGGTACAAATACATGATTTCGTTTTATCCTGTGCAAGTGGTTATTGCTCTATTTCTAGTAGCTGTAGTCTAAGCATTGTTTTAAATGTGTTGGTTATACTGTTAGTATTAGGTGTAATGTAATGTACACAATTTCAATTCAACCTCCGAAGAAATATATTTTTAGATTCCGAAATTATGACTTCTATTTTCTGTGCACATATGCTAGTCTAACCAATAATTTTTTTTATAGACCGTTCAGTATGGAGAGATATAATGCTGGCAACCAAGATGACTTCAGCCTTAGAAAGAAGGGATATCTTGGATACCTTAATACTTGGAATTGAAGTCGGAGAAGATGTTCCTGGATTGCCAACCTGGTTGCAAAAATGTATGAAAATGTGGGAGCGTACTCTGAAATTTGTTCAGCCAGTCTTTTATGGAGTATTTCCGAAAACCAAACCACCTGGAGCCAAGGCAATGAAGCTGCCATTCAAACTTCCACTAGTTCATATCAATGTCGGCACTATTTACAAGATTGTTAAACACTGCATCAATGTAATACTGTATCCTCCGCTATTGGTGAGTGATATAAGGAATTCACCAAAGGAGCTCGTAAAAGCAGGGAAATATATCATGAGAGGTGAAAAGAAGCTGATGAAAGTTATACCTAAAAGTCTCCCGAAAATTTTGCATTGGTTAGAGGATTTCCCGAAAAAGCTGTCGAATGGAACAATAAAAGTACCTTTTTTTTTGAGACATATTTTACAACACGGGCAATCTAAAAAGTCTCTAAAGTCTAAAAGGTCCAAGAAGAGATACAATTTGAACTTCGATTATATGAATATGCTAGGAAAGGTATTGCAGCATCCCCATATGGGTGATGAGCCTCCTGAAAAGAGGAACAAACAGTTGAAAAAAATAGTCAAATCTTCAGAAACTTAAATTATATTTATATTATATAAATAAATTGTATATATGGAGGAATTCAATTTTTGTTTCAATGTTTTTGTACATATTGATAAATCGAACCATCTTAATTTTAACTATTTTTTAACCTGGCTTATTGCACCTATGTCCTAAAAGATTGAATACCAGGAAAATTTCGTAAAGGGACTTCCACTTTCAGAGCAAAATTTTTAGATCGGGTAAAAACGATTTATATATGATGTTGGAACACAATCTAAGGATAAAAAAAGAAAAGTAGCTTAGCTTTTTCTCTCGTCCTAACATCAAAAATTTAAATTGCAATACATTGTACAAAGAGAACTCTGTGCGGGGGAAAAGTTATATTACTGTCCTGATAGTTTAACGCTTACTTATACCGTAGAAATGATAAAACAAATGAAAAACAGTAAACTTCGACAGTAATATATTGCCTCGTTATAAAAATACAAAATTTCAGAATATCTACGATATACTGGCAGACAGGCAACAACAACACTTAACCTCCTTATAGTTCTTAAACAAAATTCACTGAAACATATTTCAAAATAACATATAACAATTGGTTGGCATGAAAACGAATAGTAGATCAACAAAAAAGCATAAAGTATATGGCAATCAGACTCATCTTACAGAATCATGCAGCAAATAACAGAGAAATTGTGAAGATTTACATAAGATGGCTTCAAACCAACTTCAATTATTGCATGGATAATGTTAAAATTTAAGGAGTAGTAACGTTTTAGAGGTATCAGATTACCACAATCGTAACACGGCGGCAATAATATATTGCCTTATAAGCACATAAAACTTCTTAAAACTATCTAAAATAAACTGGCAGCAGCAGCCTTAAGAACCCTTCCCTCTCTAAATTACTTGTATAGATGATAAATTGATTCTCCAGGATGAAATGTCTTTATGCCTCTATCATAAGCTTTGTAATGAAATACTCTCTTTCTAGAATCTTTCTCGACAGTAAATGATCCTGTAACATCTAAAGATGCTCCTGTCTTTAATGCAGATACTTCTATGTGAACATTGGCAATGTATTGTAAATTGTTCGATACAATTTCATCAATTTTGTTGCCAACATGATTATTCAACACAACTGATATTTTGTCATTGTTCGTAAGGTTGAGGCAGTATGTAGTGAAATTGATCATTTGGCACACGTCCACACCTAAATCTACCAAGTGACTCAAATCGTCGATGATTAAGTTTGCTTGATGATCCCCATTGCCTAACAATGTATTCAAATGCTTCTTGATGTCAAGGTACAAGGATTTCAAAAGACTATCTTTATCTTCTCTTAGATATCCCGATTCTTTGCCCACATCTTCTACCATAGCATTGATGGGATCAATTATTATAACTTCATTATTCTTCTTTGCACTCAGCAAGTCATAGCCCAGTTTTTTACCAACAGATTGATAGTGGGCAACATTACTGTGAAAGGTGACCAAGCACAATTTGTGCTTTTCATAGAGAAATTGCTTAATCAGATGAGTTATGATGAAGTTGCTATCAGCATTTGCATTCTCACGTATTGATATAATTTGGTCTTCTGGTTTGATTTGTAGTTCAGAAAGTATGGGATTAGAATATCTAGGATCAGCTAAGGAGAACATCCTTCAAGATCTGTAAAAAAAACAGGCTTTGAAAACCACATATGTCTTCAAGGAGTTGAATTAAAAAACTGGAGTGTTGACTGGAGTAGGGTCAATTCTTAAAATATTAATTCTTTAAGTACTAGTTAAGAGATTCAAAAAGCTGATTGGGTTAGGAAATAACTCATTGGCTCTCTGAGGGAATTACCCTGACCGCGAAAATTTTTGGATAATATTTTTTGCATGTTTTGATATATGGTTATTAAAAGGACAATTAGAGGTCTGATCAATAATAAGTCATACATTATGAAACAGCTCTGTCTTTATTTGTCATTCATCGCTTCATGCAGAAACAATACACAGTGAAAGAGAGAAAGCAAAGGAACGATGAAGGAAGAAACGGCAAAGAGTAATAATTTCAATCAATAGAATGAGAAACGCCGCTGCACCGCTGAAATGAATGAAATCATTTTGTTTCTCTAAAAATAATGTTGAAAGTTTTATGAAAGAGATTTGAATTCCTGAAAGACCACAGTGTGATTAGCGACATGGAACGTTTGCGAACGCGCTCGACCAGGTAGTCCCCCGACTCTCATGCAATAAGCACTTCGATCTTGTACACATTAGATGTCAGTGGTATTTGGTTTTCAGTTTATGTAAAGGAACCCTGTAGAAAAAATCCCTATGGTTCACCTGAGCCCCATGAACCTTTGGTAATTCTCTAGCTTAGCTACACCAGCCGTTTTTGATGAAAAAATGATTTCAGACGCTAGTTTTTGGGTGTAGATGAAAAAAATGGGACTGAGAATGAGCGCAAACATGAAAGTCCTGAAATATTTTACCATATAATAGGTTTTTATTGAATGTTTGTTTTCAAAGACTGTGTGATGTTGCCATATTTCATCCATAGGTTTTCGTGTTGATGAATATTATTAATAATTAAATTTGTATGTATGATGTCGAAGTCCACACAACCCTACATAAGGTCTTTATAACCCAGATAATATTCGGCACCGCCATCACGTTTCACGATCGCGCCACATTCCACACAGTCCTATGTATATGTTTTGTGAATTCCATGTTAACTTGTTAAATGCAAAACTTCATACATTGGTTGTATTAACGCGCGTTCACAGTTTCGCACCGATTGCGCGTCTGGTAGAGTAACGCCACAATCACAACAATTCATCCTCTTCCATCCTACTATGTGTAGAACGAGGAGATTGGGTACCCATAAAAAGATAAATTTGTTACGTCACTGCTTGCCGAAAATGCGAAAACTGGAACGTCCTTGATCTTCCTTCAAATTATACAATTTTACATTCCGTCAAGCAGACATTTATTAACAAGTTTAACATCACAAATATCGGAAATGCATCTCTCCCCGGGCCCGCAGTATCACACCAACCCTTTTTTTGAGGTAATCTTGTAAGTATAACACCCCAATATTGATTTGAAATTACATGGATAAGGGGTCAAGGCTAGAAAAAAATGAGATATAGGAAAAATATAAACGCATAGGTAAAACTGGAATTGTTTAACCTTGAGGAGTACGTAATGGAAGGGGCTAGCAAGAAATGTAGTCTATCAACAAATTCAATTTTAGTTTATCGATGATATGAACCGACAGCTAGTGAGATATCTATGTGTAAGGTGAAATACTGATTTATGTGAAATTTTGTGCCCCACTTACCCTTCTGCTAAGTAAAATCGCCTGCCTATCTTATTTCATGTAGTTCACATAAAATAGACTGCTGTAAATCAATCAAAAACACATTTTCCAAAAAACATAACCTATACCTATTTTGACGTCAGGAACCAAGGCCGCATTTTGCATAGTTCGCCGAGCTGTGGCGCTGATGGTCGTAACGGCGCGAAATCCAAATCATTTCCTGGCGCCTCGCGGAGCGTTTTATCAATTTTTTTATTGATGATAAAGCAAATTGAGAGTTTATACCGCGCGCTAATATATGCAGTTGAATTGCTAGAGTGATTGGGTTGTGACGTCAGTAGTAATTCCTAGTTTGGCAAGCGTACGTGTACCGATAAATATTTTCGACTAGGGATAAACGACACTGCAATACGTAATTTTAGCTGTAATTTTAGGTAATAGCAACAACAATAGGTGAAGTTAGAGAGAATGGCATCGAATAAGGAGAAGAGGATAGCTAGATGGTACTTCGGAGGGCTTGCATCTGCAGGAGCTGCCTGTTGTACACATCCATTGGATCTGCTCAAAGTACATTTGCAGACCCAGCAGGAGGGGAAAATGACTCTTTTAGCACTTACTAAGAATATCGTTAAAAAACAAGGTGAGCTCAAGAATTACTTCAACATCTCCCATTTGTCATTTCTGAATTCTTGCACCTTACATACACCTGTTGGCCCTGGGCCAATGCCGTAGCAGGAAATTATTTTCATAATACATAATTCACAAAGTAAAACAAAGTGTTATGACTTTTGAATCAAAATGTTAAGTTACAGGGAACATGAGAGTAATGTTGACTTCTAGCTTAAAAATGTACTTACATCCTTGATGGTTATTATATATTTTTTATTTTTTATAATATCCGTGACCCAGGTTTTACAATTTATATGTCCAAGAAACAGTTAGAGGTTGCCCCAATCAGAGCAAAATAACTATGATTAAACTAAAAACTAATACTATTTGTTTGAATTATGAAGCTCACATCAGGTTGTTACCCACATGTGATGAGCACAATATAATTCGTAGCCTGATCACATCAGCATTTTGGTATTTTTCCGCTATTTTGAAATGTGTATTGTGTATAGGTATTATTGATGTTTATTAATCATTCAACATGGTCCACAAAATTAGTATACATTCAGGTTGTATGGGAGACCGCATCGAACTACCCGCGTTTTTTTTATATCGATTTGTGATCAAAAAATACTAAAACATTTTCTTGCAAATATTTCATATACAATTTCAAATCGGAAATGTCCGAATACTGCTAGCCACCCTATTATAATTACCGCATATACCCTGACATATGATATAAGAAATGCACAAATATAACCTTTTTACATAACACCAAATTTCACGAGAACTGTGGGTGTATAGGCTTCTGACTTGTCACAGAAATCATGCAATTTGAAAATATGCATCTGCGAAATGCATCAAAATTATGTGACCTTTTTTTTAACACTGTTTGATATCATAGGTTTGCGGTGTGAATATGGGCATACCCTCGAAGTTATGCTGCTGGTTACTTTCGTGTACTCATCAATTTTTCAAAGTTCTAACATTGCAATGACCTTTTATCATTATTTTATCACCATTAGCATACGCGTATAAGAATGAAATTTGAGATAACTGCTTATCTGAGATGAGTGTTAATCGCTTCAATACGAGGGATTATAAGTATATAAAAATTAGAAATAGTAAGAAATATTAATAGTTTATAATAGTAAAGGCGAAATTGAAACCGTTGGCGTTGGCATAATTCATTTCCATCAATTTGTTTTTCACTGTTCTATGTATTTTTTTAAAACATTTATAGCTTGATTTTCATTGTTCACTTCGCGAGGAGCGGCTCACGCAAGAGAGGATGTGAAGTCATGCTTCCCCTGGCCGAATCGAGATTGACCAGCCGTCGCCACCCCCAAAGCGCTCTTCAGTTATCATGAAGGCCACCCGGAGACAAATATTTTCGAGAACATGAACCCTGCGTCTACCACTGCGCCCCCCTCTAGACAGCTCCTAGATCTTGCCACTTTGATTAAGTGACCCCTCCCCTGACCCAAAGGCTGGATCCGCCCTTGGGCTTGAGCCGCCTCATTGAAAAGTTTTTTGTTTTTCCTTCGTTCCTCTATGGGTCGGCTAAATCTCAAAATATGCCCATGATTTACAGCCGGTGCAGACAATGTTTTTGAGAGAAGTTCACACGAGCTTACAACAACGCATGCAGTTCTCTCGACGCAATGCAAGTAGCAAGATGGATTTTGATCATGAATAATGTGTTTTATTTGCATATTACGTATATAAGTATCATATATTTGTTTGGTGTGGACATGTCGCATCTATTTCGTCTGGCAATGAACAATTTCAGAGGCCATAACTTCAAATTGCAGAAGGAAGCTTTTAGAACCTCTACTCGTCAGCGTTTTATCTCAAACCGTGTCTTCGATGCATGGATCAGTCTTCCATCTTATGTAGTGAACTCGGCATCCGTCAACAGTTTCAAAAACAATTATGATAGACACCGCAGTGCTTAACATATTGTTCCCATTCTGTATTATGTCTACTTCAGAAGTGCTAAGATTGTCAAATTGTTATATTTCTTTTGTCTGTACACTATTATCTATTATGTGTTTGAGTTTATAGTACTTGTACTCAACTCAAATTTGTTTAATAATAATAATAATTTGCAAAAAGAAAAGAAAATACTGGGTACACCCTTATGGTATGTGAGTGGCCGTGCATTAAACGGAGCATTTGTTCGTGATTTTTTGGATCTGAGAAACGACGGGGAGAAGCTTTTCATTTATTTTAGAAAGCGTTCCAAATCGTTTAACGAATTATATGATCATCACCTCTTTAATCACTATTTCAGTGTCTATATGTGCACTCAATGATATAATCTAATGTACCGCTTCGCCGTAGGAACGTCGAAATGTCATTACGGCGAAGCAGTTACCGCACGTCGGGTTTTCAACGGTGCGTTACCGTCGAACGTTGGACGTTACCGTACCGTCAAAATACGTCCGTGTGCACCGGCTGTTATACTATTGATTGACCTATGCTTATACATTTAGTAGTCGATGCCTATACACCTTATCGGTATTCACTGTATAAATTAGCCCTTGTTTGTTTACTCATTGAAAGCAGTACTGTTACCGTTATAGTACACAAGGCATCCATAAAAAATTTAGATTGTGACAAAATACGTTCACCGAGTTACAAACGATAGCATTTTATGAATATTATAGATCAAAATATAAAACAAGCACGAAATACTTGAGTATATAAGAAAAATAAAGACGAGAGGATATAAGTTATTATATAGCATCATTTGTGAACCAATTTTATGATATCCATTGTACTAGTACGTTGTCCATTTTTACAGGTGTGCTAGCATTATATAACGGTCTATCAGCCTCGCTTCTTCGACAGTTGACCTATTCGACGACTAGGTTCGCTCTCTACGAAATAGCAAAACAACACGTCAACGCCGATTCGTTTTACAAAAAAGTAGCGATAGCAGCTGTTTCTGGTGCAGCGGGAGGTTTTGTGGGCACGCCCGCTGATATGGTCAACGTTCGGATGCAAAACGATATCAAGTTACCCTTGGAACAACGAAGAAAGTAGGTAGAATATATGAAAAGTCTTATCAAACAATACAGGAAGAAGTTATTCTTAGACCAGTGCACTTATTGAGTTACTGCTTCTGAAACAGTCAGATTCCTATGTCAAATTGCGGTTCCGATTTTTGCGACATTACTTTAGACATGGTACTCACTTTGCTGATTCTATCGAACCCTTTCCATCGGAATCAATGATCAAATTGCAAGAACATGTTGTTCTTGGACAAACAGCTCAAGCACATCTTGTTTTAAAAGTATACTCCACACATATAACTATCCGACCAGAATGTTAGGAGAAGGCAGCTGCAAAAGTTTGTGCGGATACCACCAGTACGGTCGTTGGGTCATTCCTCCATAGGTGACTCTCAAGGCATATGTAAGCTACCTGAACAGCTTATCATCTAGTACAAGTTTTGCAATTGCAACTTCCTTAATCCTATTGTTTACATACGCGAGTTTAGCCGATGTTTAACCATTGATCAACAATTTACCGAGTTCCATCTAGGGGCGCCCACAGAAAATTTAAGAGCGGGGGAAGCAAATTTTCTCGGGAGGCCCATATGAAAATTCCCGAAATTGTGCACAGAATTTTGCTAAATATGGGAATTTTATCGTCCAACCGGATGCTTAGAGAGGCCACTGCTCCCTACATGCCCATGGTTGCACTGTGAAACTCGCCACCCCTATTACGTATCTTGAAAAGTAACAATATATCGATTTTTCATGACATTATTTCTGTTCTGTTTTGACATTATGTAGGTTTTTCTACAAAATGTCACCAATGAACTAGCCGACATTCACTTCATGCTCACTTGTAGTAGGCTCGGAATGAACTAGCGGCTACCTAGTGCATATAAGTTGACAATTTACCGATTTATTTGACATTATATAAGTTTTTTACGTAATAACCCTGTCGGTGAGCGGCTTAAACCAAGATGAAGTGACGAGAACCACGGTAATTCTGTCACTGATGTTTAATGTTACTTGTACGGTTTCTGATCTGTTGTGTAGAGACTGTACTTTATTGTACAATAATCTTCCAAACTTAATTTTTTCAGTTACAAACATGCAGTGGATGGTCTGTATCGCGTCTACAGGGAAGAGGGAGTCGCCAGGCTGTTCTCTGGAGCGTCGACGGCCACGAGCCGGGCAGTTCTGATGACCATCGGACAATTGTCATTCTATGATCAAATTAAGATGATGGTCTTGAGGACTTCTTGGTTCAAAGACAATATGACGACGCATTTCCTCTGCAGTCTTATGGCGGTAAGTTACACGGCCATTATTTTTATCGGAATTCTAGCAATCTACCAATACCGCACACTTGAACACTTCACTAGGTAGCATGTCGGTTGATGGCATTCTGAGTTTCAAGTATAGCATTATTTTCATTTCACTGACCAATGTTGTGACTGCTTAACTCGCTGATTTGCATTCTACTATTTGATAACAACGGCCAGGAAAATTTCAATTTTTGGTAGTTCAAAATCTTTAGCATGACAGGCGGGCTCGTAACAGTGATGGATCGATTTATTATATGAAAGCGAATGGTTAGTAGCGGAAGCAGCAGTGGTAAATAGTAAGCAGTAGTAGTAGCAGTAAATAATGTGGAGAAACCGATTTGTTCTTATTCTGTTCCAGTTGCCTGCCAAAATTTTACATCACCAAAATGGGGTGATTCCATAGGCTTAAGCGGATTTTACATGATCAGAACTGTGTGATCCGTTAGTACTTAACATGTGACATCTATTGACCTTGTAGCCTGGTAGCCCGTAATTATTATTGATGTATACGGATGCGTAGAAATCCACTGACACCGATTGATCTACGAGTACATCTAATAGCACAGACCACTGTTAATATTGATCATGTGACATTCGTCTAATGTCTTTACTTTTCTCCGATAGTCAGTTCGATGTTTGTTAGGACCTATGTACTATGAGTTTTTTGGCATCTCCACACTCATCTCTGTCTAACCATGCTTCTGTCAGTTCCCGGTGTACCCGACGCCTGTTGATTTCCAACAATAGTTCGGAGCCAATTTGAAAACTCTTAACTGTTAGTCCTGTCAAGTGATCCGCTTTTTCCGCAAGTAAATCGCTTGCGGCTCGAGGAGGAGCATCATACACTGAGAACCAAAATTGTCTGACCGCTTGGGTTCAGTGTGCATGCGAGAGAAGTGTGTATACACATATGTCAGAAAGAGATAGAAGCCGGCTGGATAGCGAAGCTCATCACCGCATTGCCATTTCTTGAATTAAGATCCATGTTGAAAATATGGGTTAGTTTAGACTTTGGATATGTCCTAACGGCGCTCCATTTTAGGTCGAAATGACATTGCATCATTCGTTCGCTTGGCAACACCGCATCTCGTACATTCCAAGGCAAGGTTTCCCCCTCCATGATCATAGATGAGCGATTTTGGTGAGTACCCAACTACCGCTCACTGGGGAGGCTGGGTCCTGCTTCGAAATGGTTTTCACCTGCGTACACGCAGGCAGTGATAATTTGTATTGCACAATGGTATTTGTTACATTTTCCGACTGCTCGCTGTCGCAAAATGTAACAATAACTCAGGATGTGTTGATTTTATCACCACCGGTGGAAATTAAAGATAATTCTGGAATGAATTAAAACATCAAGTCGCATCAAAATTGAAATAAATAATTCTAATCAAAATATTAAATTAAATTTTCGAACAGATTTCCTTCTTGGGTTTGACAGTAACCTAATCTAACCTATTGTGGAAGCCAGTGCAAACATTTTCTGGTGTAACATATTGGCAACGCGGCAGATTGCACGACCTCACGACCTCGCTAAGCAATGTGGTGATAACCTTCGCTCTTCAGCCGGCTTTTAGCTCTTTCTAACATGTGTTGATACACACTTCTCGCGCTTCTCTCTGGTACACACTGAACTTAAGCCGTTTTCCCTGTATATGCTTTCTACTACAGAATAGGCATTTCATTTTGAAAATTATCGTAAATGAAACAATTTGTTCAGTTGGTAGATTGCAAAATTCCATGTTATCTATGACAGTAATGAAACATTTATCGAGCGAAATAAGAAGCAAGTGCATTTAAATTGTATGAAAGTACATCATCGCATTTTCAGCTAATGAAATAATATATCATCCATATCATTTCAATTCAAAGAATCGAAGCCTACATAGTGCGAATTTATGTTTACAGGGCGGTATCGCCACTTCTTTGACTCAACCGCTAGACGTCATCAAAACTAGAGCCATGAATGCCAAGCCGGGCGAGTACAAAAATGTGCTTGCCATCGTACTTCACATTGCCAAACTGGGTCCTTTAGGGTTCTTCAAGGGCTACGTGCCAGCCTTTGTAAGGCTCGCTCCGCAAACTATACTTACCTTCGTGTTCTTAGAACAACTCAGGATGAACTTCGGGTTTGAGCCGATTCCGGAACAGTTAGAAACCTTAGATTAAATCATTTTGTTTCTGTCTGTTCTCTATTGAAAAGTGTACTTGATTATTCGATGTTAGTTAAATTGGTATGAATTATGCAAGAAACGATGTAAAGTGGGTATGGTATGGAAGTAGGTATACTGCTCAGATTAAGGTATTCATCTAGCGACTTTTATAGATTTGCAACTTCTATCGTACTGAGGATACCGACACGGAAAGTCGTACTCGTCATTTCATACAATTGAAAGTTTGAGATTCTGCTACAGTCAAACTTTGATTCTACTAACGGAAACGTTAAACTGCTGTACTAGATTTAAAAAACTATTAAAAATAATTCAATTTCTTATAAAATGACACAAAAATATACGTTGTAGTTTGTAACCAATTAAAATCAACGTAATTTGGAAAATAGTTTGTTGTCAATTCGCACAGATTTTTTTACGTTGATTGTAACCTTGCTCAGGGGATTAGTTTGTGTATCTACCATACCTCTTTAGCTGGTTTTACAGTGCTAAAGTTTTTGATAGTAGTCATATACCTTGGTCTATCTCTGAATAGGTCATTTCTCTACTCGCTCACTAAAAACAAAAAGTTGTCAGTCTTTGTTTATTGTGGAGAATATCCGCACAACTAATATGAAGGTTTCCATTCTATTGAGTTAGAAGGTGTTTCAAAAATGGCTTTGACTGAAATCAATCTAAAGATAAACGAACAAAATGACAATATAGTCATATTCTGTTATAGTCTCTCTATATTGTATGTATGAACCACATTTTGTTATTTGTGTTTCAATCGAAGATTATTTATGTTATTTATCTTGAAAAAATAGTCTTTAACCAAAAGGAAAAGTCCAATTATGGTATTTAGAATGATAATCTGTGATAAATGTTATTTTGATTTCTCCTATACGTTTTAAAGCAGTCAAACAAGATATGTCCCTAGACAATATTTTTGTTATTACGTTTAGGTATATTAATCTTTGTATGATATATTCACTTTTACAGGGCTTTGCTGCCAATGTTTCAGCAATATCTCTAATGAGTTCCTATCTATCGCAGCAGATATATTTTAATTTAAAAGTACAAATGGAGTACTTTGAGATAAATTTTATTAAAGAATATTTTGTATACAGATCCCAAACACCAGCTGTTTATTTATCATTTTTAATATTTTAATCTTGAGTAAGGGCTTTTGTTTTGTTTTTACCATGTGATCGATTTTGTGTAGTTACATAAACGATATTTGTCTGTTATTTGTTTCGTGGCTACATTAAAATAAGTTAAAATTGTGTTGTTAGTAGACGAATTTATCGATGCATTTATAACTTGTTGTGAATCAATGATCATTTTGAGCAATAAACTTATAAATCTATGAAGGTACTGTTATTAAGCCCGATCCCAAGTATTGTTACCTATAGGAAACCTATAATGATTGAAAAACATACCAGCAAATCCGCTTTTTAATATTCCAAACCTAGATTTAGCGGGTCATATCATCAGTTACACCTAGGTCTGACCGATATACAGGGTGTCCCGCGAGGTAAGGGACAACATTTTTCCACATGTTCCTCAGGTCAATTTGAGTGGAAAAAGTCCTATGAACATGGGTTCGCAAATGCTTCCTTCCCACAATATTATTGGAACATTACTTTTAACACAAAATTACTAGGTACAATAAAAATAACTATTCACAATAGTTGTTCAAATTGTCCACCTTCACACAGTAAACATAATTAATTATTATTAATTTAATAATGTGGCTGGTGGCTTTCCCAATAACAAGACGATTACTTCTTATGTCCCAGTCAGTGAAATATCTGGGAATTATCCTGGATTGCAAACTGAACTGAAGAGAGCATGTTGAATACAAGGTTAGCAAGGCTCGCAATTCGATGTGGGCCTGTAGACGAGTTGTCAGTGTAAGGTGGGGGGCTTAAACCCAAAGTGGTATACTGGCTCTCCACGACGATAGTACGTCCATCTCTCTTGTACGGCTCCCTGGTCTGGTGGCCTTGCATTAGAACTGAGACAACTAAGGCCAAACTCAATAAAATTCAGCATTTGGCCTGTATTAGTATTACAAGCGCAGTGCGAACAACGCCATTGAGTGCAATGGAAGCTCTGTTGGATCTCCCACCGTTGGATCTGGTGATCCGCCGTGAAGCGTGAGTAGTCGCTCATCGACTGTGGAGTCAGGGCAGCTGGGCTCTCTTGAATCCTGTCAAGGGGCATACTGCCATCTTTGTCGAATTGCAAAGGGAGGACCCTGTCCTTCTAAGTAGGGGTGATCGTATTACCCCTAAATATCGCTTCAACAGCAAGTTTATTGTGGAGTATCCAACGAGGGAGGAGTGGGACGCCGGTAGCAGGGGATTCTCCGGAGTGAGCGGGCAGGTCTGGTACACGGACGGCTCGGTCACCGAAGAGGGGTCAGGTGCTGGGGTCTCTGGGCCTAGAACTAGGCTATCTCTGCCTCTCGGTGGATACACCACTATTTTTCAGTAGGAAATCTTTGCGATTCTGGCTTGTGTATCTCACATTCTGGAGGAGGGTGGGCCTAGGAGAAGAATAACAATCTTATCCGACAGCCAGGCTGCAATGAAAGCACTAACTGGACCTGAGGAACACGCAGGAAAATTTTGTCCCTTACCTCGCGGATATGGTCAAAATTCGTTGATTAAATATAAGATAATTAAGAACCTTATTTCTGTGTTTGTCATCATATTTCAATCTAGGAGTGCTCTACCGCAATATGAAATATACTATGCTATAGTTATATAATATGTATATATGTATATATATATATATATATATATATAATCGTGGTAGAAGGTTCAAGATAAAAAGATAGCTAAATTATTGTACGGAATACTCACAATAAGATATACGCTACCAGTGGACTGTGTGAAAACGCGGACAATGAACGCGAATATTCCGGAGTTGCGGACGTATTTTGGAAAACTTTTAAACAAGGTCCACTAACATTTTGGAACGGAATAGCGCCTTCAGCAATGAGAGTACTCCCGTTCAACATGCTCGTGATAATGGAGCTAGATAAGATTATTTTTTATGTATTCAAACTTCGTGTATATTTCTTTAATAAAATTATTAAGGTATTTATTTAAAAAATCAATAAAAAAAACGAATCAATTATTCAATGCCGGAGGGAAAGACGTCCTTTTCGATGATCTTATTCTCTCTCTCTGTATGCTGTAGCTCTAAACAGCCAGCGGCTTAAGTTGCTTTCGAAAAAATTATATAGTACATAAAAACGGAAGATTTCTCCAAAAACGGAAGCTGGAGATATTTTGTGGGTAGCTGAAGTGTGCCTCTGGATTTTCTTAGTGATCAGGATCTTTTATTTATAGAATATATTGAAAGTATACAGATTACGTAAAAAATTGACAGTGATATGCATTCAATCAAAAAATGTGTGTTAACAATTACTTAACTTGCAAGGTAAATAAAATTAAATTCATGATATTGTAGCGTTTTTCTGGGTTCTTTTGGGTGTGGATTAAAACACTGGATTCCACAAAAAGAAATGCAATAATTTATTTTACTCGACTAGATAGAACATTTATGTACATCACTATTTATGTCTAACCAATTCCTATGTCGCGCCACTGACTGGACTATACTCCACTGTACTCTACTCTAGTGTAATCTGTACTCCGCCTCATCTCCCGGCCGCCGTGTTATATATAGTCCCCATTGCTGCTTCGAGAAAGGTCTGGTGAACCACAAAGCGGCATCTAGAATATTGGAGGTCACACACACACACACATTTAAACAATAATTTGATACATTAAAGTCGTGTATGTTCCTAAAATTCTTTAAATGAAGTACTTATTCTATAAAACGAATTATTAGATATATAACTAAAAGCAATCCTAGAATTGCAAGCAGACCTTTATTTTTTATTCTCAAAATAATAACAGTCGTATTATTGTTTATTTTAGAAACATGCTTTTTTTTAATGAATCCAAATTTGAGACATCAAATACAAGCTACGGTATTAGACGAAAACAAGTTCTTAATAGTACCTAAATCGACACTTGCGAAAGACTCAATAATTTATAATGGTCTGAAAATTTACGTGTCTGCCTGATGATATCAAAAAAATCGACAATTTAAAGATATTTCGCCATGAACTTAAAAACTTCCTAATTTGTAAACTATATTATACCATGTGAAAGTTCTGCAATTCATTTACTTGAGATCTACATAAGCCATGTTTGTTTAGTTTTAAGTAAGCGTTGTCATTAAGAATGATTGTATTCTTAAGACAATGAAGCATATCTATTTATCTATCTATAAATGTGATTCCAAAATTCAGTTCATTTCTTTCGTATTATGGATTCTACAATATTCTGCTAGAAAAGATAATTAAATTAGCCCACACCCGGGGATAACACAGAGAAAAACATCGAAATGAAAACTTTGGCATGAAACGTTAAACGATGTATGAACAACAAAATCCCAAATTATTTTTCCGAAAATTGATGCATTTACAAACTTGTCAACAGCTGCCAGAATTTGGGATCATCCCCTAGGAGTATTGTATTCTACTGCACTAAAAAATTGCCCGCTGCTGTGATGTACTTACGCTAGCGCTTACGATTCGCAGCATCTTGTTTTTTAAGAAAAGAGGGTTGTGTGATAGACGGATACAGGGCTTACTTAAGCTTCTCACCATACAATAATGCCTAGTTATTAATACATTCCAATTTGTAGGTCCTAAAGAGCATTTTTAGTTGAACAACGATGCATCTGAATTGATTGGCAATATTGATAACTTATAGGGTCTAATCGCCACCTGCATAACACAACCTGTGGACGTTATGAAAACACGAATAATGAATGCTGCTCCGGGCCTATATTCAGGGATCTCCGATGTGTTCACGAAAACCGTAAGAGAGGGTCCGCATGCCTTTTTCAAAGGGATTGTTCCTTCAGGAGCGAGAATTCTTCCTTTCAACATTATCGTTTTCATGCTATATGAGCAAATGCGGCAAAATTTCGGATACTTGCCGAAGGAAGAGTAGGATTGATGAGAAGTTTTTTTTATGTTTAAGCTATATATATTAGTTTTTGTGTATATTTTTTACAATAAATTTTTTAAGATAAGAATTGTTTGAAACGTAATGGCTTTGTATATGTATTTTAAATAAGTGATGTATAAAAAATACAGATTGTTCAAAATGTAAGATACTTATTCATATTTTGTGATCCTAGTTAGCGCTCCTTCAGAGTAGGGCAAAATCGAGAAATCGAATCCTAATTTTATTCCACAAAGAGCATGTTCTGAAATTAACTAAATTAGAAAAGTCGTTGGTGAAGTTGCAAACAGTTTTCATCACGCAATAATAACATTCCGTGCTAAAATTATGTGATTATTTTTTCAATTTGTTAACTGCCAAAGCTCTGCCAGCTCTCGAGCTCATTTTCAGCACCTCGATTGTTGGTGATTACCATGTGTATAAAACATGAGTTTAGCAATATTATCTTACAAATTTAGTGAATAAAAAAAGCTCTATTTTGAGATGTTCCTCTAGGTATCTAGTCACTTGGCTAGGGAGTTATCAAAATGGGAGGGTAGCCTAACGGGGTGCGTGACTTCGATTACTGTGGGATCCATATACACGTACACAAAGACGCAGAATTATTACTGGCGTACGATAAGTTTATGCTAATGCTAATAATCTGATTCAAAAAGGCCTGTTTTAACTTATATTATGCATAGACCCAAAATTGTGTCATTCTCTAAATAATTTTTTTAAGGCGATAATCCCAAATACTTTTTTCCAGATAAAGTTTTTTTAGGTGTTAGGGTCATTCTAAATACAAAAAGGCACCAAAACTCAATAAACTTACAAAAACTTTGTCCGGAGCAAAAAAGCAATTTTTGTAAATAGTTTTAGATCCATGTTTGACGCGTTCTTTGGCTAGGCAACATGCAGATTCGTTTGAATAAGATTATGCAAAAAACCGAACCAGAATATTTTTTGAAGTAGATGCGAAGATACTTGACGGGCACTATGGCGATAAAGAAATCTACGATATGCAAAGATGCTGATCTGTAACCTAGCAGCCTCTAAAGATTGACTATTTATTTCAGCCTCACAAATACTTTTCCATCATATTTTGAATCGTATTTAATAAAAGTGTTTATATTGCAGTGTCACTTTCATATTTTTACTATTTTAGGATCAGCAGGACGAACTTTTAGTTTATCTACACGTAAATTCAAAATAAATTTATAATTTTGTAGGGTGTTACGGTAGTGCTAATGACCCAGCCTGTGGACGTGATAAAAACAAGACTTATGAACGCTAAACCTGGAGAGTACAAAAGCATACTTGATTGTGTCAAACACACTGCTAAAGGAGGACCGCTAGCATTCTACAAAGGAGTTGTACCTTCTGGAATCAGACTTTTACCTGCTACAATTCTACTTTTCATATTCTATGAAAAGCTACGTGAATATTTCGGATATTTACCTCCCGATGAAATACGGAAAAAGATAGATGGTCTTAGGTGAACTTACTGTGTTTGTCGCAAATATACTTTTGTATATAAGTAGTTTTGTTTTCGTTGTGTGTACAAAATGAACAGCTAGTTAGTATCTGAAAAAGGTATACACCATATACGGATTTGCAATGCTAATTGAGGAATATATTATGAAAATTGTAACGCATTACCACTGATCGTCATATCACATACATTATTTGGTCAAAACAAAAAAACAGGACACCCTCTTTTTGTAGATAAAGATTTGTGCTCTTATATGAGATCAAAAAATAGTGCAGCTGATATATCCAGTATTTGAGAAGTCAAAGGAACGAAAACATTAAAATGTGTATGCATTTGTGTGCATATCTTCAGACCAAGTTCGTTCGAGGCTGTTGGAGACAAAAACCCCTCAACCTCAACCTATCATATCGGGGAGTTCATCAGAAAAGAAGAATACGCCGCTTTACGTAACTATTGTCGACACAAATTATTCGATAGCTTTATTAATTGCTCAAAATTTGAGTGCGTTTTGAAATACGGTTTTTGTTACGATTGGCAGCAAAACCGTCTTATCATCCGAGGCGTAAGTTCTGCGTAAGAAACTTACGAACAAGCTGTTATAAAAGCACGAACACTTTCGCGGGCGTTTCGATAAAATGTATCCCTATATTATGTGTAGGGTGAATGTGCCAGTGGTCGGACAGTTTAGATAAAAGTGGTATACAAAGTGTAATTACGAATTTTGTGCTCAAGATAACTTGACTAATGTTTTTGGAGGTGGTCATTTTGTTGTTAACTTAAATACCTTCGTTCCTGTAACTAAAAAAAAAAGACTCAAAAGGTGCTATTGTGCCAATACTCGGACAGAAGGTGATACTAGTCGGTCGGATAGTTTCCAATTGTCGGACAGCATTTGGTTCGCCAGTTTCAGACAGCACCGTATTCAAAAATTTGTGATAATAGAATAGAATTTTCAAATCAGCTGTCATTAAGATTTTGAGGAAAATAAATTAAACACACTCATACTGAGTCCATTTAATATAGGTATTATTATCAGAAATACATATGAACTAGGTAAAAATGAACAAGGAACTATTTTTCCTTTAATCCGGTCCTGCATTGTCGACTTTCAAGCAATTTGCCAACATTTCTCACAGCTTCGACTGACTCCTTGAGCCTGCCTTCACTATACAGTGTGATTCACAAGTCGTGACCAAAAATGAAACATCATATACAGGACCGCATTTTAAGGGGGTCTTTTATCAAACATTTTTTCCGCGAGGGCTTCATTAAAAAGATACGGCGTCTTGAAGTTTAAAAATAAAAAACCATTCCGTTTAACATCTTCAAAACCGTCAACTGGAATCCACATACCAAATTTTAGTTCATTCCTTTTGACGATTTTAGAGATATTAAAAAAAATGTTTTTTATTTTCAAACATAATGAAGCCTTTGAGAAAAAATGTTACATAGAGGACCCGCCCCTTAAAATGCGGTCCTGTGTATGATGTTTCATTTTTGATCACGACTTGTGAATCACCCTGTATATACAGAATTTATTTTTTTCTTGGTATCCATTCTCCAATGAAGTGAAAATGTGAAATTTTATTTTATAATCTCAGAAAATCGGAAAGTGACCAGTTATTGGGATGCTATGAAAATTTGTTTATTCCAGTTGTCCAACACAATATCACTGGTCATAAACCACATTATTTGTTATCTTTCGCTGGTCGTCGATTGGCTGGGGCTTCAGTAGTACTTTATTTAAAATATTAAAATAACGTATTGATATTAATTTATTTTGTAAATTTTGAATGCCTTCTGCATATGTAACAAGAACAATATTTATATATTGTCAGATGACGATTCCACTTGCCTTTATAGTTTATGTGACTCACTACACAAAATTGAGGCATGGCATCCATGATGTTTTTGACGAGCTAATACTGTATTCAATATGACAATTGTGGTTGTGAAATTTTGGTTGATAAATCTGTTGCCAATTACCAGCAAGTACAGGATTTCAAATAATCAAGTTTTTACCAATAATATAACATTTGTCCGACTACTGGTGGTGTCCGGGTTACTGGAACATTCTGTCGGAGATTCACGAATGTTTTTTTCTGGTGCCTAATATTGCTACGTTGCCATCAGAAACGCGAACAGAATGCTTATATTCTATCTTGTGAGACACTGAATATTTGATGTAAAGATGCTTCTTCGCAGAGCGGACAAAGTCGATCGAGATTGCCGAAAAGGGCTTCACTTTCATGATTAGTCGAAATCAAAATTGGGCGAAAAGAACTGTGCTATGGTTCGTCACGTCTAAAAAATTGAAATTATCGGACATCACGGGGGAAGTTGACGATAAAATATTCAGAAAACGATATGTTCAAGCTCGAGAACAGGTTTGAAAAACTTCCAACGCCAGAACGTGAAAAGAAGCTTAAAAGGGACAAAAATATACGTACAAAATGGCTTCAACAATGTCGTATCCACAGTGTGAATTCGGCTCTCGGAATAGTGGTTATGCACAATTTTGTCACTTGTCACAGTCATATGCTCTTTTCTGCAATAATTAGGAATCTACTCTGAAAAGGTCAGTGTCACCTATTTGGCGCTGTAGTCAACTATATGAGCATATAGCTGGCTAGAGCGCCGTCTCATAAATGAAGCCGTGATATCTTCTCTCGGATAATTTTTTTGACGCCGAAATACACTACATGGTTGCCTATCCTTAGGTATAATACGTTGATCAATGGTTAAACCGACAGAAAGATACAACAGCTCTGTCGATATAATATTTGATCGGCCATTCTTCTGTTACGCCACTGCGTCGTACAGCGTGGTGATGTCAAATTTATAATTGACAGTTGAGTTGTCATTTTTTTCTGTATGATTTGTTTATTGTCAAAATGGTGCGGTTCCGATAGATTTGTAGGTAAATTAAGTGGTTTTTGCCGAAATAAAACCCATAAAAATGACTACGTCGGAGCAAATTGGTCTCAATAAAACATGGGAGCTTTCCTTGTACGAGTTACACCGGACACCTCAAGAGGCTATAACAGATAATACAGAGATAGCAGTGTCCCCCAGAAGCCTCCATAGTGAGTTGATGTGTCCTATTTGCTTGGACATGTTGAAGAAAACTATGACTACAAAGGAATGCTTGCATAGATTTTGCTCTGATTGTATCATTACAGCATTGCGTTCAGGTAGGATACTAAGCTTGTACTCGTTAACTTCAGATTTAAAAAATAGCAGATCTCATCATCAGTTGGGTGGACATTAATTTTTTCCGCTCCGGGCATGTTTTTGTAGTCTTAACGGGGGAGGTCTATCGCCCCTATGGCTGCTTTAGTTAAGTTTTGACTTAATCCAATGTTTTCACCTCACACCATCCAGTAGCAACATCTTCAAGTATGTCAGCATTCCCAAGATCTGGTTTGATTACCGAATGAGTATAAGAAATAGCAGAATTGAGTAACATGTTTGAACTCCAGATAAGCTTCAAACTGCATGTGGCTGGTGAACTCGGGAACAGTTTTTTTTCTATCATGTTGACATGCTCTAGGTACCAGAAGTCACCAAAATCCATGCTAAATGGTCAGCCCATGTATTCTAATATATCTTTGTTAAAAAAATACTGTGGTGATCAAAGTGCCTAAAACCATTTTTCAAAACAAAAGACCACAGTATAAAAATGTGTAAAATTCAATAATGTTTGTAGGTTTTTTTTACTTGCTATTTTATTCATTTATTGTAGATGTAAATTAAGATTTTTGAACTTTACATAAATACTATACAAAAATTGACCAACTAAGAACAGCTATTTTGTCCTTTTTGGCTACTTATCAGTATGGTCTATACTTGGTCTCTTACCTCTGGGACAGTGAAAGAAAGCATAGCAACTAGACAGTATTATTGTGACAGGATCTCCAATTGCAGACTGAGTTCTTTACAGTTCCAACTGGTGGCTGCTATTCCATGTTTGCAGCAGTCAATTCTAGTAGTAGATGATGCTTCTCACTGTCTTATTTCAATAGATCTCACACTTTTGATAGTGTATAGTTGCTATGCTTTCATTTGTTGTCCCAGTGATGAGAGACCAAGACTAGACCATGCTGATGAGTAGCTGAAAAGCACAAAATAGCTGTTCATGGTTGGCTATCCTGGGTCAGATGGATGAAAGCAGCATTTTTAGTTTGTTCAATGGCAAGTAGACCACATCTATCACATAGCTAGAATTGTTGCCATTTAGCGGTCACATCGTGAGTGGGCCTCCAATTGCAGATTGAGGTCTTCACAGTTTCAACCAGTTGGTGCGATTCACTGTTCACAGTGGTAGATGGTGGCATGACTTATTTTGAAAATTGCCTAAATCAGAACTCTTAGTTTTATTAAATATGAGAGTGCAAAAGAGGTCAATCTTTACCCAACTCCTTTCAGTAATAGCCCAGATTTACTGTGCCTGATGTGTTTTCCTAGCTTTATCTTTTTAGCATGTATAATGCCAAAAGGAGAGGCATTGAATAGTCTCTCCTGTGTTGCCTTTCTCATCTGGGTATGAGTTTTAAGTTAAAGTTTGACTACAGAAACATATTGTGCTTTAATTTTTGTTTTTGTCATTTTGGAATGAATTGGTTAAAATTGTATTGTTCGCAGACGGCTATAAAAATGTGCTCTCTGTTTTGTTTTGTCACTGGGCCAGTACTTTGTATCCCATGTAATTTTTTAACTGCCAATAAATACTATTATTATTATTAATATACCTTTTTATACTAATACATATCAATTTTCTAGGTAACAAAGAGTGCCCTACCTGTCGTAAAAAACTAGTATCCAAGCGATCTCTCCGACCTGATCCTAATTTTGATCTGCTGATATCAAAAATCTATCCCAGTAGAGATGAATATGAGGCCCATCAAGAGAGAGTGCTTGCAAAGTTAAACAAGAGCCATTCTCGTGAGGCTCTTGTACAAAGCATCAAGGAGGGGATCAAAATCCAGTCACAGAATCGACCTAATAGAGGAAGGAAGACTAATGAAGCTGGTGGTATTGAAAACCAGGACGAGAATACTTCTAATGTTGCTAACAATGCTACTAGCGCCAATGAAAATTTAGTAAGCAACATAGTGCAATTTAAAAATCACTTATTCTGAAATAAATAAATCATATTAATTTAATAATATGTTGTAACCTTGATGGAAACAATTGTTATTGTATTTCAAAAGCACCATTGTCTTGATGATTTCTGGTATACAGGGTGGCGCAACGAATAGGTCGCACCCCCATTTGTGACTCTCCTGGTATGTTTTGTGAAAACGGTTGGACACGTCAATTTTGATTTCTAGGTGGACGTCTTTTCATCTATAGCCGTACAATAAAGGGTGATCCAAAAATAAGATATTGCACTAACCTTACATTTTTAAATGGAAAGCCCCATTTTATTTAATTTTTAGATTTTCCATCGAGTTTTTAGTAACTTTTGTATAATAAACCTATCTTCAATTGTTGTGAAGCTATTTCAGTTTAGAATGAAATTCGAATAACTTAACACTGATAATAATGGGATGCACCACTGGGGGTCACTGCTTATCTATGGTCACTGCCAGCACCCAGCGACTCCCTGGCGCTGATTAAATTACTCGATATTTGGCGGCGGTTATCCATATTGATATTAACGAGGTGTAGATGTTCAGGTTCCTGAAGATTTGAATTAAACTATATTTAAGGTTTTTGTTTTTAACAATATTGAGCACAAATACATAAAATCATAAAAATACATAAAATATCTTTCTATGAATCTTAAAAAGTAAAACAAAATACTATTTTACCAGTCAAATTAAAACTTTTAAAACATAACAAATGTAGTATAAAAATGCTTCTTTTATATGTTAAACATTGCTTAATAAACGAAACATTTTTCTATGAAACAGGAACTCGCAACAATAACAATAAAAAGTAACAAAATAGGTTAGGCTATGCTGTAGCGACCCTGTACTTCCCGCGCGATGATCGCGAACGCGATGTGTATATGCTTCCTGGCAGCGACCGCGACCGAAACAGCGTTACAGCTACCGATCAGTGGTTACCGATACCGATACTTCCAAACAGCGATCTGGGTCGCTGCTTCATGGAGAATCAGGTCACCGGGACTAACGGCGACCATTCAAGTTACCGGGAAAGGTCGCCGGTACCGATATATCGATCATCTCTAGTGTCATCGTATGAAAAAAACTTTGTCTTTCAAATCAAATTGTTAAGTTACCTACCTGGTTGTTAGAAATAGCGAACTGACTTTTTCAATTCAAGAAAAGGTAGAAATAACAAGACTGTATTGCCAAAATGGGAGTGTTGCAAGAGCTACTGCCCAGTTGTTTAATGTGTTAGACAAAAATATTAACAATCAGTGTATGTGGCTGAGTTGATAAGAAAATTTAAAGAAACTCGATCTATGTCTCATATTTGCCGTCATCGCCATCGAGAAAAATGACCAGTTGGAAATGGAGCTGCAGAAATACCACCTGACAACACCCAAAGCATTTGTGGACTGCCTACTTCAGCACTTACATGCAAGATAAAAATTGTCCATGAGCTTAATGAAGACGATTTTGATAGACGGTTGGAATTTTGCGAATTAATGTCAATAATGTAAATCTGTTAATTAATATCTGTTTCTCGGATGTGTATACGTTCTATTTACATGGTGCTGTAAATAGACATAATTGTCGATATTGGAGTGACTCAAATCCAGATATCCTAAAAAAAAAAAATTATGGGCCGTCATTTTCGGAAATCATATTGCTGAATGTAGATAAATAACTCAAGACATGCCTGAAAATGTGAGGAATAGATTCGAACGAAATCTTTATTATTGCATGGAGGTAAATGGACACCACTTTCAGCACTTATTACCACATTGACCTACCTGTTCATAGCAAATTAATTTTTACTTTAACTTTAATGTGGGTGTAAAGTGTAAGTTGTTTTTTTAATACTCGGAGACTCGTTTTTTAATTTTAAAGTAAAGTCTTGTTACTATGGGAACTATATTGATTATTATTCTTATGGTATAATCCCTTATTACAATCACTAGAGTTAATCCAATTTTATGATAAACCCCATATAGCTTCACAGTGATTGAAGATAGGTATGAACTTTATTATACAAAAGTTACTAAAAACTTCATGGAGAATTTAAAAATTAAAAAAAAGTGGGTTTGCATTTAAAAATCTAAAGTGTAACACAATATCTTATTTCTGGACCACCCTTAAAAATCGATTGATTGGTCTGAGCGTTTTTCCCAAAATGTACCAGGAGAGTTACAAATAGGGGTGCGACATTTTCGCTGTCCCATCCTGTATCAGTAAAATGTTGAATAATATGAACTTCTGATGATTCAATCTATCTCATCTACCTTCAAATTAAAGTCTTAGCTATTTCATGAACAGAGACTATCTTATAATTTTCAGCAGTCATCTCAGCAGCTAAATGCTCCTCAATCAACACCAAGTAATTCTGCAAATAATGCTTCTAATAATCAAGCACAACCAAATGCTACTGCTCCAAGCCCAAGTCCTTCTGGTAGAAGTACACCTTCTCAGCCTCCTAGTCCTGTCTCTTCCAGTGTGGGGTCTATCAGTAAATCCTTATCAGGTAGGTAGTCTTAACCAGGTTTATATTTTTTTCTTTTTTACATTAAGGGAACAGAAACCAAACCATACTATGATATTGTGGTATACTTTCTGATTGAATAGTGGGCCAACAGACTCTCACAATGTCTACAATTTTCACGTGTGCACTGACAGGTGTTTGTCAAACTTTATTGTGCCAGTAGTTAAAGGGGAGACTTTAAACACATAGGAATGGATGGATGCCATATATGTAACATATTTTTGATTTATATTTTTTTTATTTCCAGGTAAAAGACCAAAGAGTGTGATGACATCAGAAAGAAGTGAGGAGAGCGAGTCTAGTGAACGTACTGAGCAGACTGACACAGAAGGGGAGGGTCCTTCTGAACCTATGACTTTGAATGAAATTGAGCTGGTTTTCAAACCCCATCCCACTGAAATGTCTGGTGACAATCCACTTGTGAAGGCACTGAAAGAAAATTCAATAAGGTGGGACTTTTACCATAGTTTCATGGTGTTATTGACAATACAATATTGTTCTTATGCTTTTTGATCTACGCCATATAGTTCTCAATGTAACATCTGAAACTTGGAAAAAGATTTAATTACTATTCTCTAAATCGACTGGTGGACCATATGTTCTTTACTTCTAGTTTTTTTCTTATGATTTGTTTTTCATCATAGTGTCCTGGAGGTGTTGAAGTACTATTTTTCGCATTTGGCATCCATGAACAATGCAGAGACAGCATTCGTAGACAAAGACTGCATAACAGTTAATTGGTGTTTTGCGACAAAAGTTTTGGGTGGGTGATATTTTGCGCTTTCGGAGCGATGAGCAAGTTGACGAGTCTGGTACACTCAAAACAGCAGCATGCTCGCTTGTTACCTGGGGGTTGGACGTCTTTTATGAGTGGAAGAGCCTACCTCATGCCCTAGGCGGTTCTAGGCTTTGCTGGTTTTGCACGGTGCCGTCTTAAAATTGCTTCGCGTAATCTCAGCATGGTACAGGACCGTTCAGTACGCTGTTGAAACACACTATATAGTAGCAAAAAACAAACCAAGATACATATAAAATATATTGCCATTGTCACTGATCTGAGACACATGGAATTATTCCATATACATAGTTTATGGTGAATGTCTTCAAGATGCTGCGGAAGTTTCGCGGGTGCATGCAGATCGGTTTACTAGAAGTTTCCATCCCGCGCCGCGTAGGTTTTATCATGTACTAGGACGCAGTGTATTTGAGGAATGTCGCGTGGTCACAGTAGGAAACGTCGACAGTCCTAAATGTCAGAAATTAACGAACGTGTTTTTGAATCGTAGGTGGTAAATGGCTGAGCGTGGAGGTAAAACCCGGCGGATGTCTAAGGCGGGGTCATAATGTATGCACAAGTGTTCGTGGGAATTCCCCCTTTTCCCAGTATCCGCTTCTAGTCCCACGGTACCCACGGATATTTAGGTCTTAGGCCTGCGTGGTGGATCAAGTATAAAAAAAAGAATGGTGGAAACTTCGAACAGTATGTGTAGGCAACATGTGTCATGGACATACTTGAAATTTAGCTTCGACATTTCAAGCATAGTTGTCCCTGAAAAGGAAAGTCTTAACTTGAAAAATGACCTGCATAATAGTTTTAGTCGTTCATTGACCTAACAACAGTGAGAAAAGAAGTTGTTTGGACAGAGGTTTGCTGGTGTTAGCAGTTCAGAATTTTTATAACAAATCCCGAAACCCGTGTATCTTATAGGAACTTCAGTATGCTTAATAATTCCTCTTAATTTTTGTCATGATTTTGTCATCAATTCATTCTTGCTCAGGTATATCAAAACAACTGCCAATGCCACAGTGGACCACCTGCATAAATATTTGGCCATGCGGCTGACTCTCGACTTGGATTCCCAGCTACCCACCACGCATAGTCTTCTAAACTTTTGTATCTACATCTCGCCTGCCACTGGCCAGTACGTGCAGTTAAATGGCAACCAAACGCTGGGCCAAGTGAATGATAAGTATTGGAAGGTCAACAAGCCATTGGAGATGTACTACTCTTGGAAGAAGACCTAGGGAACGCGTAAGGGGCCCAAAAAGGCCCCCTGACCCGAGGGAGGGGGTACGGAGAGTGAAGGGAAGTGAGGTTGAATGTTGGGAGTGGAATACACTGAGGGCATTTTATTGGTGAAGTATTTAATTCAATTATTTGGTGCTCAAAAAGCAGATTGCCTGGAAAGTTTTGTGGAAATTTTTAAATGATTTAAGATTCTGATAGTTCTGTGCAAATGTTCACTTTGCTTTTCCGCTCATGCCACCATATTGGGAAAATGGCCCCCATAAAAAGTTTTCTACAATATCGTTCCTACTCTTTCAACGGTAATATATGATGATGAATTAAACTAGAGACAATTTCCTATATTGAGCTTTTTTTGGGGTTACAGATACAGTGTAAAACACTTATAGGTTCAACAAACTTGCATTTTTAGCAGGAATATTTTGATCAGGTTTCAAAAAATCACTGCTTTTGTATTCTGAGGTTAACTTTCCAGATTGAAAAAATAGATCCCAAAAAGGGCGTTTTTACTAAATATTTTCAATATCTTTATTTAGAACATCTCCGAAGAAAATAACTCTATGACAAATTGAACTAGAGAAAATTTTATTGTTCAAACTGTCAAAATATTCAAGTCAAACTTCCAAGTTATTCTAAAAAGTATTCATGCAGCAACAAATGTTCAATACATAAATTGTTTTGGGTGCAGTTTTTCCAATATGGTGCGCGGACGGAAAGATACGAGGTATCAAAGTAAAATTTCGGAAAAAGCATTTCGTAAAGTGCCATGAACTTTTCAAAGCTATGCCAAAATTTTCTAGGTAAATTTGTAGATTATCTCATTGGAGTATCTCAGTATTTTTGCTTCAATTTAACCGGAAAAACATATTTACACAATTGACTTGTTTTAAAAATGCAGTGAAGAAATTCTATTCGAGGCGATTTAACAAGGAGGTGATCTTTCAAGCCATAAAATTATGGACCATTTAGAATGGAAAATGAGTTTTGTATTTTTGGGAATATGCTACGACTCTGTATCACGTCAGATGCGGTTCATATTTCAGAATATTGTTTTACAACAAAAACAAATTTTATATATCTGTAACTAAGAATTTGAGTATGTAATTTTATCAAACGTCAAAACAGTTGTATGAGAACTATTTGAAATACAATCCTTTGAGTTTAATTTTTGAGGTTCGTGAATAATAATGGCCATAATTTTCTGAAATAGCTCTAATAATGTTTTCATCTTCAACAATGTACCCCTCATTGTATTGCACTTTTTCAAATTGTATCTTGTCAGCCAAAAATAAGCTTTAGATGTCGATTTTTATGATTTTATAACATATGCAATTTTTTGCATGGTTGATTAAATTGCAGGAACAAAATGATTTAGGATTGCTTATGCTCGATTTTGCTAATCCGAGACGCAAAATTTGTGCCTATGGCACCAATGAGAAGGAGCTTTTGGAGTAATGGATCTAATGAATATGGTCGATTTCTTGTAAAATATCCCTCAAACTAGAGAAAAATGATACGATTTGTGTAAGATTCTAATTCTCTTAGTAAATTAAAAAATATTTCGTATATCGCCTAGTTTAGCCACATTTTTTCATTTGCATCCCGGCACAAAATTAATTTGTGACCCGGACACAAATTCCACCAATCGAAAAGAAGGGTTTCCATTATCGTCGTAAATTCAACCCAATAAGAAGTATTTCGGGTCTACCCGTCAAATTATATCATTGATATTCGTCCTTGCTATTCTGCTTAATAAGCTAAATCTGAAGACAAATACAATTACAGAATGCTTATTCCTTAACAAACATCGAGAAAATATTCAATTTATTTAACTACCTTGCGAAAAACCCTGTTTGTTTCTTTCAGTTTTATGCTCAACACCTGTTTAGCCTGGCGCTAATTTTTCTGGTATTCACAATACCGCTGGCGCAATCTGCTGACACCCTGGCAAGCTTGGCTGAAAAATGGCGTCGTCGTTCTACTTCTCTTACCGTAGCCACGGTGTCGGTAAATAGCGCCAGGGTAATCTGAGAAGCCAAAAAAATTGGCGCTAAACACCTGTTGACCATAAAACTGATTAAAAAAAACGGGTTTTCGAAGGCTAGTCAACTGAATTATATATTTGCTCGATGTTTGTGGAAGAATAAGCATTCTGTTAAGTTTATTTATGTATTCAATGAATGTAGTAAGCAAAATTTTATTGAACAATGACAAGAAACAATGCTCTAATTTGACTGACCTGTTACTAAGCAGTAAAGAAAAAAAATGCATCCTTTTTTCAATTTCAGGTAGTAACACTATTATTTTCGATAAAATGCTCACTAATTGCTGTCTTATCGTTTTTGTAGCTAAACCAGGTAATTTATGAAGTATTTCTTGATTTGATATGAGAATTAGGAACCCATATTACACAATTTTTCCCTAGTTTGAGGGACATATTTTACAAGAAATCGGACGCCTCCTCATTGGAATTTGTAACATAGGCGCAAATCTCGATTCCCGCGGATTAATAGTAAAATCGGGCCTCATAGATTCTAGATGTATCGTTTGTAATATTTGGAAACAATGACTGTATCAAATTTTTTGTAATTCATATCCATTGACAGGTATATCAAAATAAGTGTAACAAAATATAAAGTAGAAGATTGTAATCGAATTTGTTATGATGTTATTATCAAGTTATACCAGTATTATGAAAATGCAATTTCTGTAATTCTCCATAGGATGAAGGTATTTTTTACCTTTACAATTGATTGATTAAAATTCAGCATTTGCTGGCGTATAATGAACTTTCTATGTGTGATATTTATATTATATTCCAATTACAATTCTGAATAACTTTGGGAATTTACAATAGTAGTAAATTATACAAAGTACCAATATTGTTTTACTTCTACTAGTAGTTAGTCCTCTGATAGGCAGCGCAAGAATCGATCTGAAATGTTGAAGGAGAATAAAATGCATCCATCCCCTATATACCGTGTACTGACACTTTGAGACGGCATGCTCGCTGTCAGCGATCTTGAATATCTAAGATAGTGGGAAAGATTCGACATACATGGTGGTGGAGCCAAATACATGAACTTATTAGAACAGAATGCTGCCTGGAGAATGGTACCAAATTCTGATAGGTGTTGGGTACATATATCAAGCAAAGGAGATAACACAAAACATGTTCTGATAAATGCCTCCATGGACACACTTTTTTATATTGGACAATTTCAGAGATTGGGAGGACCAAAGATTAGGATTATGAGTAGGCATAGATTCATTTCTCTCACAATCCTTTGTATACACTGAGAACCAAATACCACTGGGACTGGAACTGGGACGAAAATTACGATCAAAAATTTGCAGTCACCGACTCGGAATTTCGTTAGTAAATTTTAATTATTCAAAGTTGTCAAGTCCCTATTGGAAAACCCGCTACTACAACAAATTTAGCTAGTTCTACTGAAGACCCTTCTGCTATGTCTTGTGCCATCTATCCATTTTCGGCAAAATAATATATTCCTAGGTTCTTCATACCATAAAACGTTTCAGCACAATGTTAATCTCGTCTTTAGAGATGAGACTTGTGGACGCTTTTTCTCCCGAGATTGACTCAGTATTAGGATATACAGCTCTCCCACTTTATCTCAATGATTCTGCTACCTCGTTTTTGAAAGGGAGTACTGCATGAGACTTCGAATAATTTACAGCGGCCACCAGTTTGAAAATTGATTGTAAATGGAAGCGCGCGAGGGGTGAGAGCAGAATAATAATTGAAGGTGTTTGTGGATATATTAAAAAGGAGATCTGGTTCCATCGGCTGTCGTTCTTTACATTCGCGCACTCAATTTGTCTTGCCAGTTTGGATTTAGCACAACAAATTAAGAAACATATTAAAATACGTCAGTTTCAGCTTAAGAAACTGATTAAATTAAAATCGTGTTATCTGTACCCGATTACGTATCCTGGCTTGTCTCAGGAGCTTAGTTAAATCTTGTGGAGCCCATGGGTTAATATCATTGGTGGCGCTAGACCATACATGGTCGACGGCGGCATCAGCTTTGCGAGACCCCTTCCATCTTCTAGTCAAAACAAAAAAAAAAGCATTAAATTGAATGAGCTGATTGTCAATCAAATGATGACAAAAATTAAATAAACAAACACACATTAACATAGACGAACTTTTTGGTTTTTAGCCTCACTGAATTAACACCAGCCACTATTTCCGCTTGATTTGATAGAACAGATTGATAGTCTCTCTTGACTCATAGCAGGTTCTAATCAACTTTAGCTTTGAGCAGCTTCTCTCAATAGAATATGTACTGACTGGAACTGTGAGCATGATGTTGATTGTAATGTAAACACATTTTGAATGATCCTTGAAAGTGCTCTATTCGATTGACTACCCTCGGCTGTGATTTGATAATGGATCTACGTTTATTTTTCAACAGTCAAGCAGCCTAGCTTCAATTCTTCATTAAAACTGACCAATGGAAAAGCAAAATAGACTACGTGGCTAACAAGCAGTGCAGAAGACTCCAGGTCCGGTACGCGTATTTCGTTAAAAAAAAAAAAACACGGTGATTAGGTCTTGACCTCCCAACCCTCACCTTAACATAATGTTTAAAAATTACTTTTACTGTATTTTGGGGCCCCCATTTTGTTGGTCTGGAGGCAGACTACCTCGGTTGACCTTCATGCGCTCCGGTTAAAAAATCCTTCTATGTATCTGCTTGCGACAAGGTTTATTTTTTTAACGAAGTGAATCTCGAATTTTTAAAAACACTGCCCTTTCCAATACAAATCCGATCGCCAACTTTTCCATTTCGTCTAATGCACTTTAGTTCGAGAAAAATTGCTCAATGAGATGCGTCATAGTGATTACGTTCAAAAATACTGGTTTTTTAAATTCATGAAGTGGAGTACCTGCTAGGTCCGATTAATGATTCATATTGTAGATGTAAAAACTGAAGATCGCCACCCACCAATGGTTTCGCCAGCTAGGGTGCATAAGGGTATCACTACCGCCTTCATCGTATGTACGTGGATTATGACGAGTTTCGAGTTTTTCAAATGACCACATTGCTTACCGTTTTGTCTATCTCTGCGACTAGATCCAAGACGTAAGCCCCGGCTGATGAGTTGCTAATGAGCACAAAACCGCGATGTTTGCGGCTGGTCATGGTTACAGGAGACAAAAAGCAACCATGTCCCTTACGACTACAAATTGTTTTTTTTTATATAATTTTTAATTATTTCTATTTTGTTAAGTTTTTCATACAGTGCTTTTCTAAAATCCCTCTCTCACTGTGTCAAGTTTGCAAGCTTAGACATAGAGTGATCAAAATGATGCATGAACACTATATTATTTTGACGTAAAAATAACGATCGTACATTTTTTTGTATCGGAGATTCCCCCATTTTGAAACTCCTTATCAGTACTTGATATTCCTAATAAATGATGGAACTTTCAGTTAAAACAGCTTAGAAATTTTTTTTGGAATGTTCCATAATCTATTAAATGTTTGTATATACCTACTCGTATCTCTTCAGCAGAAAAAAATTGACACATTGCTGATAGTTCGATCCAGATAGTTGATAATTTCATTACGGTTGATGTACAGATTTTCAACCTAGTATCTAAAAATACATTTTTGAATCGAAACATTCTGCTTCTCATGTTCGTTACCAATAAACATGACTATGTCATTTCAAAAGATCACGAGGGGCCTGCAAAACAACAGATGGTAGACTGTAGCTTAAGCTTAAGGGGTGATAACGAGCGTCATTCATCATTGGGGCAATGGTCATGCATAAGCCAACCGACAATGTCTTCCAAAAATGGATGTAGTCATGAGTAATCCTTGAAGCAGTGAAAATTAAGGTCAGAATAAACTAGTTTTCCAAAACTAGCTATATACATAGAGTCCCACTTTTTTCGGACTGTGCAAGTTGCATAAATAGGTCGTGCACTAAAATGACCCAAACTAATATTGGGTGCGCATTTGCATGAAATGGGGAAGAAGGAGGGATGAGTAAACTATGTGAATTAATAAAACATAGTATAAATAATACAAAATTACACGAAAAATAACATGCAGTCTCAATAGAACCTAGAACTCATTAAAATAAAACAAATACGCCACGTCATGGGCTCTAAAAGCCGGTGTTTTTGAACACAATTGGACACTATAATGCTTTTTATCGGCCAATTTAACGGAAAAGTTGGGAGGTCAAGACCCAGTCAGAAGATTTTTTGGACGAAATCCGTACTCTGATCCTGGAGACCCTTGCTTGTAGGTGGTCTCTAGTTTGACCGGAAAAATAGGTAATATTCCTTGGATAACCCAGCAGTTTTTTTTATAGATTCGAGATTCTCATCGTTAAAGAAGCAAATCTTGGCGTATGCAGATACGAGTAAGAACTGCAGAGACGGAGTGCGGCGGTATTCATCAAGGTAAACCAATATAGTTTGGTCCAACGCTCCTGACATGTGCGCTCCAGAATAACGTACGTTAAAAGTCATTTTTGGGTATTATGTTGAGAAAATGGAAGGAAACTAGGAAAGTCGCTTTGTTCGGAGGCAATGTGTTTTTCTTGTTATTCAAAACATAGCGGGGAAGTCATACTAACTGATTGGGTCCCTTGGGCAAGCAATTCCCTCTCGACTGGTCTCCGCTTTGCCTTTTGAAAAGAACGAGCTAGTTAACGATGAAATATGTTCATTTCAAAATTCAATTATTGCCAAACCTGTAATTCGCCTAAGGTCTGAAACACATTCTGCGGTTCCGTAGTGATTTCTCTGGCTATTAATTCAGCATCAATAGTTTCAATAATCATAAGTCAGATAAAATACGCCATGGATAGATTGTACGCAAAACACATTATTATGAAAAAAAAATAAATCTGAGGATATCAAATTTCGCGTCCAAATTCAATAGTTTATTCTTGTCAATTTATCTAACCGGCTAGACTAGATATGTCCATAATCTTATTATCTGCTTAATTAATTTTATTCCAAAAATATGGTTTCCAGCACTTACTTCTAAGAATAATATATCTTGAAGGAGGCAATGTATTTAGGATACATTTGATAACATCCAGATTTAACCGTCATTTCGACTGTGCACTGAGTAGCAATAGCTTATTCCTTTCTCACTTTTATTGATTCAAGAGGAACCCGAACAACATAATAACAGATGATAAACACGGTACTTTATATTATGAAAATGTGTAGTGATAACAAAATTAAAAAATTAACTTTCATAATCTTTACTCGCCTCTTCACGTTAGGAAAAAACCTTTTAGTAATTAAATATCTTTGTAACAGTAAGAGTGATAATAATAATTCAAGAATATCTTAAACAAACACTTTCCACTGCAAATCTACCTTTGTTTTGTTATTTTCGATAGGCACAGTGTCCACATCTCTCTAAAGCTAATGCAGCTTTCTTTACGTCTCCTCTCAACGGTTGTTCACATTGAAATTTCTCCGGCAGTCACATACGGATAGGCCGCGGATGACCCACTGTATGGCCGCTTATTAGGATAATTAGCTTGTATCTATTCTCTTAAGGTTACGGTTCGATTTTACAGATGTTGGATACACCTAAAATCCGAAAATGATTCATTCTGATCGGTTTAGCTGCTTTATATTTAAAATGGAGCAACATTTCAAAGGGATCCCTTGTACTAGGTTCTAAGGCGGTTTTCAAAAGACCTCTTGTTACTAACAAAAATCAAGTGACGCTTCTAATTCACAAAAACTGCCCAAAACGACTGACTTTAACTAGAATGAAAGAAGATCTCTGTATTCTCCCCAAAGATCGCTGTGGGTCAGACCCTCCTATCTATCTAACGATACCCTTACAGAAGTTATTGAATACAACTCATATAAGAAATGACCAGGCCAAGTAGTGTGGGTTGCTCACTGTCAAGTCATTTTCGGTTATTATAAAGTAATTAAGAAGGGAAGTAATAAACAGAACAGGATGTACATTTATTTTAAGTTAAGTTTTCAAACAAAAAACAATGTGGTCTCTCCTTCCCTCTTTCCTCATTTTTGTACTGCAAGTGTGAGGCTTTTGGGGGAGGCAATGGTACCGTTGCCCCCCCCCCCTGGATCCGCACTCGGAAATGACCTTTGTGTATTTGAAAGACTTAAGCCGTCTATGAAGAAATTATTGTAGTCTTGCATTTTGATTGTAGGTATCTAGTTATTTTAAACCGTTTTTCAAGATAAAGTTGATTCAAATCTAATTGTTTCTAATAAAAAATGTTTCCAAATACCACCAGACTTCTAGATGTGAGCTTTATTTTGCATTCTCAATACCACAGAGACTCATGAGTCATTGTATCGGTGAATTATCGATATAAGGAGTCTGGCGAGTTAACCTATTAAAATATACTAAGTGACATATAAATCCGAACACCCAGTTTAAATGGTTTTATTTTAATAAAATTTTGTATAAGTACTTAATGAAGCATAATGATAAAAATTTCAAAATGATTGCACTGCTTTAAAGCCCTTTGACCTTTAATAATGTGTGGATGCACACTGATGTGTTACGCATTCTCCAACGCGCCTAGGCATGCTTCTGATCAGGTGGTCCGTGTCCTCCTGTGGTATCTCATTCCAGGCAATCACCAACTCCTCTCGAAGTGCTTCTAGAGTCTGAGGAGGACGTTGCAAATTGAGCAATCTCCTACCCATCATATCCCACACGTGCTGAATTGGGGATAAGTCGGGAGATCTTGGTGGCCATGGTAACAATGTGACATCATTATGTTGAAAGAAGTCTATTGTGACTCTTGCAACATGTGGTCGGGCATTATCTTGTTGGAAAGTTGGATCTGCCAGGGTGTCAAGATAGGGTAAAAGATGGGGTTCTAGAACTTCGTGGATATAACGCTGCGCGTTCATGTTACCTCTGATGAAGATTAAAGGTGACCTGGAACCATAAGCTATAGCACCACAAACCATAACTCCAACAGTGTGATGAACATGTCTTTCAACAAAAAACTGTGGATTCCTCCTTTCACCACGTCGCCTTCTAACCCTGGCACGACCATCGTGCATGCCTAAACAAAATGGAGACTCGTCACTAAAGATAATACTGTTCCATTCCTGATCCCAGAGTGACCGTTGTCTGCACCACTCAAGGCGATTACGTCGGTGTTCTCGAGTTAAAGCGAGGACCCAGTGTGGCCGGTATGAAAACAAGCCAAAACTTCTCATTTGTCGGTAAACACTTCGCATGCCAATAGGTCTTTCGTGTTCTGCAAACCATTTATTTGCAATGGACCTGGTAGTGGAGAAACGGTACCTTAAGGCCAATAATCTTAGGCGGCGATCTTCACGGTCTGTTGTTCTACGGCGGCGTCCAGTGCTCCTTGCTCTTTGCGTACGGCCTTCTCGAAGCCATGCCTGACAACACCTAACCACAGTGTCTACACTTCTTTGCACTCTAACTGCAATTGCCCGAAAAGAAAGTCCAGCTTCCCGAAGTCCCACTATACGGCCCCTATCAAACTCACTAAGTTGACGAAATCGTACAGGTCTCCGTACTCTAGGCATCGTAACCGATCGTAAAGGATGTCAAGAACCAAAATCCGCCAACGTTGATTCTTTACTGCGGCTGAAATATTCATTTTTAGAGCGTTAGTGAATTAAAAAAAATCAGTATAAAAACCGGAATGTCCAACTGATAAGGCTGAAAATTGTTTCACTTGTTATTTACAGTAAGATAAATACATTCACCAACTTTTATTAAAATAAAACCATTTAAACTGGGTGTTCGGATTTATATGTCACCTAGTATACAACGGCATTGTCGGTGAGAAAATTAAAAGATCGCTGACCGGCCGCCTATGTGAAATAGGCTGTAACGACCTATCATCACCAGTTAATTTCCAGTTTTCCTCTAAAGTATATAGGCGTTTGCCTTTGTCCTTTGTGGCTTAGGCAGGTAACTTATCTTCTACCTAGCATCGGACATGGCAAATCGCGTCTTTTGCAATTTTCACAAGCAGAGAGAAATGGCTTTTGAAATGTTGAAACATATGTAGCTATTATTTTAATGTTATTTCCCTTAAAAGTAGAATTTCCCATGGGGTGACATTCAAGAAGTGTGATTGTAGTTAAGAATAACAGTATAACCTCAGGGCCGTCTTAGCTTAGACCATAGCCATAAATCATACTTCTTTCTTATCTCAATTCTTTACACAGAATGAAATATTGTATACCTACATCAAAAAAAAAATAGACTCAACCCTCGCAAATGAAAAAATAAATGTAAATAATTGGCGTGTTTTGAGATGAAATGACTTCACAAAAATGTTAAAAACACTCTTTTGCGCGAGGATTTTAAAAATTTTCGGAGTAGACCACTTTTCTAAAAAAAGGCCTCGCAAAAGGCTCTGTATAACCTACCTAGTCTTTAGCTGATGTAATTTCATAGGGAATGTAATATAATAGGATATTGGAGCCCTATGACGGATAAATGTAAATGGATATTGAAATCGGAAACGAACGATTTCTTTCAAAGCACACATTATCACGAGAATAAAAGATAATATTACTAACTACTACTAAGTAGTTGATATTATAATATGTATACATAGGTCCAAAGTCAAGGGGTGTGAGATGTTCGAGAAACAAGGAGATTCATAAAAAAAATGATTTAAACAAACTATTAACATAGACATCAGCGATTGAAAGAAACGATCTACACTTGTGATAAAGCATTGCAAAACGGGTACCGTTATGCTTCACAGTAAGTGGGTATGCAAGACCGTAACCTTAAAGACCTACATATCATAGGACGGACGCGACCGCGGGTCTCGGATCGCTGTTATTTACCGGTATTTTCTCTGTGCTACCCTGGGTACCAAACAGTAGTTCCGTACACAGGTTCCCTAGCGGAAGCCCTGGCTAGAAGGGACGCAAATTGATAACTGCTTAAAAAAATAAATATTATAAAATTAATTTAAATCCATTGGTGGAGATTACACGGATTTCAGGGAAAAGTGACTTAGTTTTATTTTCTACCGTTGAGTTTGTGAGACGCAATGGAGAAAATTATCCAGAAAGCGAATTTGAATGTCCAATTTGTACAGAGGTGAGTTTATTACTGTTCTTTTAAATCATTACAAAAATGCTGGTTTTCTCACGGTTTACAAAACATGTATGTAATTACTTGGGAAGGTCCAAAAAACGAATGGACGAACATTTTTCTTTTCTACTGTTTTTGGGTTACGTAAAAAATTGGTACATGGAATACAAATTATATTTCACATCATGCTTGGTGCATCAGTGTTGGTGTATATTATAATTAAAAAAATCTTTTGTCGCTAATTCATCGTTCTGTCAATATTTGTGCGGGCAGTCAAATTTATCAAAGAATTAGTAAATTGTTTATAGTTATTAATTGCCATATTCAGAAACCACAGAGCTGCAGCCGTTAATGTTAAGTGTAAATTCGGTACCCTTTTGGACCCTTTCAAATCAAATTTGATATCAAGTTAACAGCGACGACAGTTTCTCATGGAGGTATATAAGTCGATGCAGACACCCCTACCGTTTTCAGCGGAACCTCTCACCGCTTCCCTTCTTGAATTCTTTTGCTGGGCAGATAATGTGTATTGTGTTGTAAGGGTGTACGCTGTAAGGTAATTTTGGATTACAAGGAAAGTTCGGAATTCTTACCGACCTATGGGAGCTAGTGCGAAAATTACACTGTTTTAAACAGTTTTGCCACTCAAGAGTGTTTGGTAGTGATTTAGCATTAACTTGAGTACATAAAAATATATTTCGCATGATTTGAGTGTGGTGGTTATGTCTTCGCTGAGTAATGTTTTATGCTACGATAACGCAAGCATATATTACATACAAAATAAGCTAAATGTTGATTGAATATTTACGTGATACGTGTATAGAACAAATGCGTCCAAATGGGAACTAAAAGAGTCCCTGAGATATGCATTAAAAATCAATACATCTCCTACGAAATCCTTTTACAGACGACATTTTCGATTTGCAGGAACTTTAGTAATGTGGTCTGTGTGTACAATTATTCTATTACATGCAAATGGTGTATTAGCGCAAAAACAGAACAGAAGAGACCGACATACAATTAGAAATTTGTATTTTACTACTTTTATTTTTTCATAAGTCTCACGAATAATTTTGTCAAAAAAATGTACGTCAGTGACATGCGTTCATTTTGATCACCCTGAATTTCAACTTTATCCGTTCGAAAAATAGATAGAGTGAGACCTTTTTCAAAAACACTGTTGAAATTAAAACAATTGGTGAACAAAATATTAGAGTTATTATGGCTATTGGCTATGCACGTGAGTCAAACCGATAACAGTCTCATATACTCTGATTGCAGAGGAATGCATTGACTGGCAGCTGTGATTGTGGGAGTGGAGCGGACATTCTTTAGTACTGTGTCAAATATGGAATTAGTTCAGAGGTACATACACAGATTCTAGTCTATTATCAACATACTGTGAAGAGAATTGAAGTTCCTGAACAGATCCATTGTTGTGCCTTAACCACTTTCGAAGCGAACCGCACAAAACATATGCCAGAAGCGTCTACAGTGGAATAGAATATGTGAAAACGACGTAAAGATGTTGTGAACACAAAAGTAAATGTGCTGTGCGCATGTTGCGCAACATGTGTCAGACTTTATGACAGTATACAACATGTTGAGCACACATACCTGCAACTTCATATATTGGAAGTACGGTTATTTGTGATTGTGATGTTTCAACAAGCGGAAACGGTATTAACTTACATAAACTCAAACTTTGACGTGTGTTATCTACTTTTACTTCCCATACCTAGTAATGTAATCGCAAAAAATTTCGAAAATGACATCATATTGTTTGGATGTTATTTAATATAAAAATCACGAAAAATTGTCACTCATTTCCGTAGATCTGTCTGTCGGTCTGTCTGTCCGCTAATCCTTGGCCAGTCTATAACTTGGAAAGTGCAGCTCAGATTTTGATGAAATTTTGACTCGAGGTAACTCCTATGTCAAGTACGGAAAAGCTTTGTAATATCTGAAAAAGGTCCAGCGGCGGCGGCGTGAAAGGCAAAAACACGAAAAAAAAACTATTCTCTTTCAACCCCAGTAATACTACGCACCTATTTGTACATATTACACATATCATAGATTTCCCCGTATATTTGCCTTTAAAAATATTTACAGACGTGACACGGCGTTCTTGATCTCGAGTTATAGGGTTGTGGCTGGGGCTTATGGCATGGTTAACTGGTGTGGTGGATCACCGTTGCCAGATGGTCGATACTTAGGGGAAGAAACTAGCGTTAGCGTTATCAAATAGGTGGGGACTATGGAATATGAACTAATTGTATGGACCTGTTTCGCTGACTTGATCCATTTAATTTCCTTGTTATACATGTTTGTAGCTAGCTGAGAGGGACTGACTTGTTCCTTTATGAACTGATGACAGCGTTGCGTCAAACTACTTGATGCCATTTCTTCTTCTTGATTTCTGCATGCATGCACATCATGAAATCCAGAATATCATTTAATTTGATAAATTTTTTATACACTGAAACAGCCGCGCAGGCAGATGCCCTACTGCCAGGGCACCGCGGCTGCTATGCGGATCCCAAAACAACTTTATTAATCCGATTTTTGAACTGCCTTGTATAGTGTGGAGAAAAGTACTTCTTCGCCCTAAGCAGATTTTTTAGCTTTTTTCCAGCAGCTGCCGCTATTGCCGAGATCTGTTCGTGCCAGATCAAGTCCTCGGTGATCTGGACACCTACCAGCCGAAATGAACGGCCCTCGGATAAGAATAGTAGTACAATCAAAGAGAATACATGTGTGCCAGTAACTACATTTGTATCATTGAATAATATACCCGTCGGAAGTGTAAATAACACGACAGTCATATTAGTGAAATAATTATCCCCATTGTTTCAAGGCGTATGAGATCTTACTGCACATTGGGCATATTATTTACAACAGAATGACACTACAAAGTATTTATCGTTGGAAACTAAGACTGATTTGCCTGTTTGGCATTTTATTACCATTGAAGATTAATGATCCCTATTAATCTACCTCATAAAAACTGCAAATCACTTTCAATAGAGAGTTTTAGCAGTCACAATTAGCGCATACATAAACGTTAACGTAAGCCGTAAGATGCCGATGGATTATAGGTTATTGTATTTATGTATGCGGCATTTGTGATTGCCAAAACTTTTAAACATCTTTAAGCTACATATAACGCACCTCTTCAATAAAATATCCAAATTTATAATCCACACATGAGGTAACTATTTTGGTCAATTGGTATTCATAATTCTTGATTTTAAAGACTCGTATATCGACACGTCCGATTTTACAATACATAATGTATATTAGCATACTTTTCATACCATGAAACTTTTACTTTACGCGTGATAATGCATCTACATACTTATTTTTATCTTTACTATCTTTGTACAGTTCATTGTTTGCGTGCTTAGAATAGACAAGAATACCTATAAGTCAGGGACGGAGCCCTTTTGGTATGGAGTCGTAGATCTCTAAAATAGACCAAGGATATGATATACGAAATTTGTCCCAAAATATTAGTCTTTGGGAGAAAAGCAACTACTACTACCAACTACATATTGATACTGAACTAAATGTTAGAGATTTTAGTTTTTGCAACGTAGGTGTCAGAGTACCTCTGAATGGCGAGGTACCACATCGACTACGAGATCTGCTTTTTATCTCTACCAGCGCATGTGTGCATTATTTTGCATTACCGGGTTTCAAGTAGTTCGCACGTAGACGTTAGCCCTATCGTCACAAAACAATATGTTATACATCCTCTTATTTATTTTTACATTGTTATTTACACCGTACAATTAACTTAGCTTTCTTTATATTAAATCCGTTAAAACTAAAGTTCATTCAATTTCCGCAAATCAATTGTTTTTGAAGCGAAAAGACTCAGCCTATTAAGTACCCTGGCGTAATCATGTAATTATCAATTTACAAAATGTGTTACCTTACGTGATAAGGGTTGATTAAATCTTTGTTTCACTCTCTCGAACAGTTTTTTGTCTTCAATAAAGTTCAACAGGAGCGTCGCATAAGGAAAGCTGCAGAAACTCCATACTTTGTATCAGTTGAACTCATATTACAAATTATTAAACAACACATTACATTGTCTGCGTAAAATCAATGAAGAGTAGTTGTCCACTTTTTCAACAATAAGTTTACAATAATGGCGCGATATTTTATTGTTATGATAATTTCCTCCTATAGCATTTTTGTCACTTCATGGACTTTATGAATTCTAGAAAATAATGAATAAATTCATTTTCTCATTTTAGTTTTCTTTTTCTTATCTTTCTAGCTATGTATCCAGTTATAGCCATACAGACCTGTCTGGCAGACGCAGACGATTCAATTTGATTCCCATTCTGTGAAACGATTACTTTATTTATAGGCCATCAATAGTTATCAAAAGCTTCGTCTATAAAAATATCTGGCTGTCTTGGAAGTTCCCATTGACAATACCTTTTGCGTTACGAACGTGCTGATTTGTCCAGAGGTAGGCCTCAGCGTTGTCTTCAAGGTTTCTAGCCCACTTTATCAAGCTGCCGCATCCAGTTAGGTGAACCGCCCCTATAATCATTGCAGATATGTACAAAATCGCTACGGTAATATCGTTCTTCAAAGGGATAAATGATATAAGATAGTCACCAACGGTCATTGTTCTCTTGCATGGGTTGAGAGATTTCGGCAGTTTTTCTGGTGGGTGCAATAAGTAGTTGCAATGTTCTTTTTGTCCATCTGTCTCTGAGACTATATTTTAAAACTCAATCTTGTTGTTCGTTAGGATTTCCTTTAATCAAATTTCCAAGCTATCACAGTTTCGAAAAATTTATTAGTTTGAGCACAAACATGTTTATGCCTATTCGAGTCGTTTGCTTTTTAGAGAGTATCAGGAAGTAAAACCTTATCTCGCTGACGTTACAAACTACTGATTGAAATCCTTATTCGCATAGAAATAGGTAATTTTTTCATTTATTTTTTTCGACACTAATTCCTATGCCAAAACTAGCGAGGAA